AAGTGGAAAAAATAGTACTAACATCAAATTTTTGTTTTAGCAAATAATTCCATGTTACACGAGTGCAATCATCAATAAAGGACACAAACCATCGAGACTCGATAACATTAGGGACAATAAAGGGACCCCAAATATCACTATGAATCAAGCTAAAAGGAATAGAGGTTCGTTTATTGCTCATAGAATATGAAGATCGTTTATGTTTTGCAAACTGAAAAACATCACAACGAAAGGACTCAACAGGTACATCTTTAAACCAAGAAGGAAACATAATTTTCAAAACACTAAACTAAGAGTGACCCAAACGACAATGATAAAGCCAAATTTGATCTTTTCTAGACTCGACTCTTTTTGATTGAGAAGAGGAGGAAGCCATCAAGCTTTGAATCCCACTACATTCACTAGGCTTATCAAAAAAATAAAATTCATCTCTTTCTTTAACAAATCTAATCATTTGATTCATCTCTTGCTCCTGAAAAAGACAAGAGAGAGAAGAGAATAAGTCATAACAATCAGAATTAGTAGCAAGCTTTTTCACAGAGATAAGATTTTGTGCACATTTTAGGAACATGCAAGACATTATTTAGAAGAAGACTATCACTCAATCTAACATCCCCTTAACTAGCCACAGTAGCTATAGACCTATCACCCCACATGATTTTCTTAGTATTAGGACATGGATTATAAGATACAAAATTCTTGGAGGAATTTATCAAATGGGTTGAGACTCCAGAATCCACAATCCAAGAGTGAAGAAAATCTCTATTTGAGGCAATAAATGCATATGAAAATATGACAAATTAAGGTTGAAAGGAGATACCTGAGAACCCTAAAGAATAGATACCTGTACCAAAATCAGAAGTAGTCTCCTTGTTAAGTGAATTTAGCATAACTCTTAGTTTCTCAATCTCCCCCTTAAAGTTAGTATGACTAGAATTTTTCATGGTAGAATCAATTACCACATGAGCTCTTTTTTCATATTTAGAGACTTACCATACAGCTTTCAGCACTTCTCTTTGATGTGCCACAGCTTCTTGCAATGAGAGCATAGAATAGGTTCTTTCTTGGAAGAGTCCCCTCATTTCTCATTTTCCATAGAATAAAAAGCAATATTCCTTATAACCAGGGCAGAGCTTTCCACAAATGGAGTTTCCATCATTACTCCTCAGCGACCTTCCAAGACATTACCATTAAGTTAGCTTCATCCCAAGCATAAAACTTGCATTCTCCTAGCTTAGGACCAGTCCCAAGTAAATGACTAATCTTCCCTCGACCCTTTAAAAAAGTACGAACATACTGAGACTAAGCTAGAAAGTTGGCTCCAGTCAATCGATAAGTAACCGAAATACTTGACAGCTCCCCAGAAACCCCAAACGAGGAAGACCCAATATTATTAGATGTGTTTTTTTGTCGGTCATGATTGAAATAAGGAGAGAAGGAGATTCAGAGCAAAATAGAAGTGACCAAAAGCTAAACGGGGCCCAAACACACTCTCACACGCCAAAAACGCAACACTGGGATTTAGTCGGGTAGGCACATGGCGACGAGGGACGACAATCAGACTTCTGGGTCTGATCGATCGGTAGCAAGCGAAGGCAATGGTCCAACACGTGTGGGCTAAAAAATCTCCAACAATAGTGGGTTTGATTGTTCAAAACCCTAATGCACGGAGACAACTAAAACCCTAACGCAAAATACAAACCCAACCTAAAAACAAAACTCTAAACCTCATATTGGCTTTGATACCATGACAAATTTGGTGAAAAAAAAAAACTCTTTATTATTTCACTTTTCAAATTTACAGAACTAGCTGTGCTATTTATAAGAGTACATCAATATAGAGTAATAAATGTTATCTTAACTTCTAACCACTAACTACAAACTAATCTATCTATTAAAGAAATAAAATAAATGCACACTATTTAACTACACATTTTAACACAAATATTGAGTTTGGATATTGATACATTTGGAATCAATATCACCAATTAAGCTTCAATTCTTAAATCCTCCCTGAAGCATGCTTCATTGTTAGTGCCGTTACCATTAAAAATGCACTTCTCAATTGGAGAGGCTACAATATCTGAAATGAACTATATTAAGAACAAAGAAACACACCCCCCCTAAAAAATCAACAAGTTATATTGCAGCACCTGAACTGTTTCCATTTAGTACGGATTCGTTTTCAAACATGATATGGATTGAAGAAGAACAGAAATTGAAATGGTTTGAACCTTAAACCATGCCTTAAGCTCCAAGAGCTGTGTTAAAATTCCAGAAGAACCACCATAAACCTACGACACAAGAAGCAACCAGATTGCACCCCATGGTTTGCAGGGTTATTAGAAGAAACAAACTTCTTCAAAAACCAATTTGACATCCCTAGCAGATAGATTTTGCAGAAGCTTCTTCTCAGGCTTCAAGAACCCAGAGTCCTTGGAGCCAAAAGCCTTCAGTCCTGATATCATGGAACCCAACAAGAGACAACAGATCTTATTTCATGCACTTCTGGATGTAGTAATTAGAACTTAGAAACTCGTGGATGCCATGTCTAGGAACAAATCTTAATATCAATGAAAGGATTTATGTAGCAGGAGACAAGATCTTGCAAGACGAGATGAGGATGTAAGCCAAACCCATCTGATGCATTGACTTCCATGGCACCATAAAAGATGGGGAAGTGTGCGGATGCAATCAGGAATCCTGGCACCCAAATAAGGAGATTTATAGAATTCCACCTCCTAGGAACCATGTTTGCCACTATGAAAAGGCTTATAGAAGCAACCAGAATCATCCACTAGAGGACTGACATGGGGCTAGATGGCCAGCAATTAGATGTTCCGGGACCTTTAGCACATTCCTACATATTAACAAGAGCATCAAAGAAGATACCATATGAGCATATCTCGAGGAAATGCACAGTTTAGTAGGCTATTTAATCCGTCTAAAGAAAAATAATGGATTGAAACTTTTGGTTGAATATCATTTGTACACTGAATTCTATCTTCATCAAACTTCAATTTATTCCATATTGTTAGCATATACATAATACATAATCAATTCTAAGGGATTAAATACTGAGAACACCAATACCATTGACTATTGCATGTATGGCCTCAGGAATAAAACACCTACCATAGGTCAAATGGCAATATTGTATTCTTAACCATTCACGCATGACCTCTCACAATACATCAGCAGGAGGGAGTAGGTATCTACTGGGCCAGAAAAAAAAAATGACTTCACTCAATTCAAAAGGTACCACCAAGCTGCACAGGACTACAGATTTCAAATATATAACAACTTCCTGGGAAAAAAAAAGTTTCTTGCTTTATTTCATTAATTTGGGACATTGTTTATATATTTTATTTTATACATTGTTATATATTTCAAAATGTATTTGACAAACTTAAAAAGAAATTTTATCGAATTGCTATAACACCAACCATGTTATATAGCATTGAATGTTAGACTTTAAAGGAACAACAGGAGCATATAATTAGAATAGCAGAGATGAAAATATTGGGGCAAAGATGCAGATATACATGAAAAGATAAAATCCTAAATAAGCATATATGAGAAAAAGTGGAAGCGGCATCTATTGAGAGGAAAATAGTAGAAAATCATTTGAGATGGTTTAGACATGTGTAGAGAAAGCCAAGGGGTCATAAGTGAGAAGAGTGGAATAGATAATCTTGAGTTTTATAAAGAAGGGTAGAGGATGGCTAAGGAGAACATTTATGGTTGTTGAACGAGACCTCTTAGTGAACAATATTCCTAGGAGTTTAGTTAATAATAAAACATAATGGTGTCATGCAATCCATGTAGCTAACTCCACCTAAGAGGATAAGGCTTGCTACTGCTATTGTACCAGTAATCACCAAACTTGTAACCTCTAGGTTGACACTTTAAGGCTAGACCACAAGGACCAGTTTTACTGGCTCATTTTATACATTTTATTAAAACAAAAATTACATTTTGCAGCTCCACATCAACAGGCCATTAGAAGCACATTTCAATACTTTAATCCCAAAAGTAAAGTTCAGAAGTTTGAACTGTCATTAGAAAGAGTTAATTACATTTATAATATTCCACCAAGATACCAAGTCCAAACCTTTACAAAGCAATTTGATCATTAAAAAATTCTGCAGACACGGCTGAATTTAACAACTGGATCTTGAGAAATGATCAGTGATTCCTAAGACAGAATCAGAAAGGACAGACAGGCATCATAACTTGTGGAAATGAAAACAATTTTTATTCCAGGTAGAATGAACCAAACGCAATTGCCCAAAGAAATGAACATCATCATAAATATCCAAATGCAAGCTACAAGAGTGAGAAGAAAACATTTGGTCCATCAAATTGATAATGGAACAAAACTGGAATGAAGCATAAACGTTGAAGCAAGTAAAGTTACCTGTTGTTTTCTTTAGGGAGAGACTGAGGTTTCTGTGGAATATGAGCACACTGACAAGACCCACTATGTCAAGAAGATCCACACAAGAGGACGAGCATAAATGCCATGACCATTAATAATGGGTGAACAGAAATCACGATATCAAAGGATATGCATCTTGAAAGTACAACTTTGCCCTCTAGCTCAGTTGAATAAATTCCCCATTGGGAATCAGGACAACTAGGAGTTGGGCTCCACAGACTCCTTCCTCTATATGGACAGATAGTTACAAATTCCAAAATTTTTAATTCACTCAACATCAATTGTATCGTTAATATATCTGTGGCACTTTCATCCAATAAAAGCATCGAACAATTTAACCAATATATATGGATCAATATAGCATTTAAGAGTAATAAGCTTGCCTTCTCAAAGTTGCTGTTGTGCAATGATGTACAATATTACAAGTCATTTAAACTCCAGTTTTTGCCATCATCCAATTGTTGAAAAATGCGTAGAATTAATCAGATATAGGATGAGAAAAAGAAAGTAACAATTTTGAAACTAATGAATACAGAGTGGAAGTGGATAGCGGTCAGGATTTCAGCAAGGCTTAAAGCCTTTCATTTCTTTGCCAGTAAATCCTGGCTAGAGAAGAACTACAGTTACTGGCAGGCAGATCCAATCTGTCCTGAATTCTTACAAGAGTTACATGGCTCCTATGGGGGGAAAGAAACAAACCTTAGTGAACAAGAAATCCTAGATTTGGGAACCTATGCACATTAAAAAGTAAAATTTCACCCCCTAATTAAAGACATCAGTGGTTAATGTCCAATGGTCTCTAGCCAAGCGTGACATGGTGTACAGTTAAATCTAGAATAGTGTCGAAGAATGCTTAATCAGAAATCAAATAAGTATTTCATTATTGACTATGAAGCATTCATGATTGTAGCAGCATGAAGAAGTTCATCAGGAGTTGCTGCTGGATCAAGGTCCCAAAACCTTCCTGGCAAATTGCTCATCTCTCCCTTTAGCAACCAAGATGGCACCTGGTGTGAAAAGCGTAACATTTCTCTTCTTGGTATCCATCTAACAGCTTTTTTGTCTGTATTCGTTTGATATACTGTTTTAAATCCAGCAAGCTTTATGAGGGGACTAACACAGACACCAAGCTGTTCAGAGTAATCATCAAGAACCTCAACCATTTCATACTGATGCCTCACTTCATCTGGAGTCAATCTGTTCCAGTCTGGAGACCAATTTTGATAAACAGCCCAAATATCTCCACTTCTGGGATATATGCGAATACAACCACCTCGACCAGCCTTCTCCCGTGTCAGAACATGAGAGAAAATATTTACCTGGTCAACAACATCAGAATTGTATGCCCTGAAATTTCCACAAGATTTGGTAAAGCCAGAATCTATCCAGTTTACTGGGCCAAACTCACTATCAGTTTTTGAGTTCAAATAACTAATAAGAATCTTGAATGGATTGACAGAGATGACCTCACGGATTAGACAATATAAACGAGGCATGCCATCTTCCTCGTCATATAAAGCCCATATTTGCTTTGGCTTGAAGCACTGCTCTGACCTATCTTTATCAAAGTCATGAAAGTCAGAATCAGGGACAGTTATTGTGACAGAAGCAGTCTTACTATTCTCTAATTGATGGTCAGAAACACTTAGACCTGCTCTTCTATACTCCTCTCCATTGACTTGACCAACTTCTGCTTGAGATTTTGCTTTCTCCCCAACAGCAGCAGCTTCAGATGCCAATTTCATCTCTTCCAGCTTCTTTCGAATATCTGTCTTGGCCTTCTCAATCAGTAATTTTCTTGCATCAAATGCTGGTGCCATGGAACACTGCTTTGTTTGAACTTCACTTGCACGGGAAAGTTTCTGGTCATGTACAACGCTTTCATTTCCATCAGCCAATCTTGATTCAGAAGCATATTTCAATTCCTTTTGTTCACAGCCATTGCGGAAACTGGCTGCCACAACAATTTTCCTTTTCTTCTCGGGTCCAGCGGGAGGAATTTCCTGAGGTCCATTACAGTAGAATGATACATCTGAATTTACATTGGGCACAGTCTCTGCCAATTGATGCCTCTGATCAACAGTTGGTTTGATTCTTGGTCTTCCTCTCTTCCTATTTCCATTTGCCTTACAACCAGGATCAGAAGATAGGGTAGTTGAACCATTTCCATTGACATGTCCAGCAGAGCTCCACTGATATGAGAAATTTGAAACATACTCATATCCATGTGGAGAATGATATCCAGTGACCCCATTACCATTGAAATAGGTAGTACTGGTAGGCACATATGTGACGTTATCAAATGAATGACCTCCATACCCATTGCCTGGCACATATGACCAAGGAGTATAAGGGAAAGAACCATTTGCTGGGGCTGCCCCAGTTTCAACAGCAATAAAAGTTCCCCGGCAGTTCTTGCATGAAAGTCTCTTATTCACATACTTGCGCAAATACTCATACTGAACTTTACACGAGGTGCAGATGGTCCAGAAAGAATCCAGCCCACCATGAGAAGTTGACAAATTGAAACATTTGTTATAACCTGTAGCTCCTGCAGAATGGACTGACGACAAATTTGCCTGATTGACTCCAGCAGCCAATTTTGCATTTCTCTTGAAATCATAGGAACTTCGCATGGCACTATCTGATAGCCAAGTCCATGCTTCAGATACCAGCTTAAAGGCCCCATCAGCTCCCACACATTTGTTCTTATCCGGGTGAAGCAACACAGCCAACTTCCTGTACTGTTTCTTAACGGTCTCTATATCTGCTGAAGGTTTTATTCCAAGAATTGAATAATAATCTAGTTCGCCATTATATTTTGCCTCAGAAGCTACATAAACTTGAAATGTGGCCACCATTTGAGGTATCCCCTCCAATTCAGGACATATTGTTTTTGCCTTTAATGCATAATTTTTGGCACCTGCAAAGTCTCTCTGAGCAAATCGCTTCTCAGCAATCTCTATTGCTTTAAGCGCCTCCTCTTTGCTTGCTTCCATGTAGGAATCTGGGGCACTTAACAGAATTCCACTCTTTTAACAAAAGCTATGACCAGCCTGACATAATTATCCATAACCAAACCTCCATCCTCGCGTCTAGCCTCCGTCTGCTAAAATTTTTGAAAAAAAGGAAAAATAAATTTTAGTTTTGAGCCCAACAAAATTTTCAACTGACGTCCACGAGCACCAATACTTGCATACTCTCAATAAATATTCAAATGCCAGCATAAATTCAAAAATTTTATTTTGAGGGAAAAAAATGTCAACGCAAATAAAACAGGAGAGTAAGAATTAGCAGCCAAACTTACAAGTGAATTCATTCCCAGAAAAGGACACAGAAATAGCATAAATAAAACACTCTGATGCTCATAAAGCATGAATTATCTCACGTAGAATTGTTCCCAAGCATCGAAGAAAATGCCGAATAGATGCAACCATTTACAGTTGCTTCACCCCAAGAAGTGAAGATGCTGGTTTTCAAACAGAAGAAAATAGCTGACAAAGATCGAATCTTGAGAGACAAAAATGATGACCGTCGAGGAAGACGCAGGTTGAAAGTGAAAGAGAGAAAGAGTGTCTCACCAAAGACGATGATGATAACGAATTTGACAGTGAATGAGAGCGCCGAGCACCAGAGAGCGGCGACGACAAGGACCCGTTTGCAGTGAGATTCAGAGTGAGAGAGGCGCGAGGCGAGAGATCGCGGCGTGAGAGATCTGCCTCGAGAGATTGCGGCCAGAGAGATCTGCGAATGTGCAGCGACGAAGACTACCCTGAAAATGACAAATTATTACAGATTTTGCCATTACAGGAAGAAGCACAGCAGTTTATTACCTTGAAATGATTTCAAAAGGGGGAAAAAAAAGAATTTTTGTGTGGTCACAATATTTCAATAATAATTATTAAATTTTATTAATATTTTAAAATTATCAGGATATATTTTTAAAAAAATTAAAAAATAATTCTAAAAATAAAGAAAATTATCATATATATTATCCTCTATAAAAATTTAAGATATAATGCTTTCTGGAATATATAACAAAATCTGTAACACACATTTTGATTTTATGCGACATGTGATACATTTATTAAAGAAGTGGACTACAAATTCAAATCACAATTGTTTCTAATTCCTACATTTTTTCACTTAAAAAAAATAAAAAATGAATAAAAGAAAAAGATTAAAACTGCCAAACTTTCAATTAAATAAAAATTGAGAGAAACCTAAATTTTCACTGAGATTTATTTATTTTTTATTAAAAAAACCTTTATCAAATAAAAATTAAAAACTACAACAGAAATTAAAAGTGGGGAAGGGGCTCACTGAGATGGAAGCAGGAAATGGGGATTGAAGACGACCTAGATCGGCACATGTACTTGGGATTCCAGCTGAAGCAAAATTGAACAGAGCAAACTACCAATCTGACGACATTGAAATCAGTGGAAACGCAAACTAATTTTAAAGTACGAACTGAAGTGAAGCGAAAAAGTGGGACTTGCTGTTGCAGGTTTCCAGATTCGGGTTGTGAAGCGGGTCCGATCCGAATTCGACCCAATGTGGCGGCGATGGATTGGAGCTTCCGTCGTCGCCAATCAGAGAGAAAGCTCACTGACGAGAAATGAACTAAGGATTATTATTAAAATAAATAAAAACGATCGTTTCGCAAGAAGCGAGTGAAGTTATTCCATTTTAACATTGCTCATAATCTCATATTCATAACTATTAATCATTATTAATGGGGAAATTAATAATGAATAATTAATGACTTTACTATCAATAATAAATTGACATTTTTTGCCCAATTATAAATAGAAATAGACAGACATCGTAGTAGTCCAGTCCAGCACATGGAGGTGAGAAGTAGGAACAAGCAAACGTGCACCGCCTGGGCTTTATTTCGTCATAATATTTTTATTTTATTTACACCTTTTTGTAGGTATTTCATTTTCAAAATCTCTTTAATTTTTTGCCTCAAATAGTTTGATTATTTTAAAGAGAAATTTGGTGAAAAGGACTTAGTTAAAAAGAAAATTATGTCCAAAGACTAAGTTAAATTCAAAGATCAAACCAAATATTTTATTCATTAAACAATCTAAATAAATAATCGAAATGCCTCTTTGTTTAAACCAACAAAATTGACAACAACAAAAAAAGGGCTACATGTTCAACATGTGCATCCCAAGTCAAAAGCCTTACACTCTAACCAAAAGTCTTGCAACCCAAGCCAGAAATCTTATACCGAGATCAGAAGCCTTGCACCAATGATAATAAAAATTACAACTTACTTTTCTAACTTCTAACTTGAGGTGCATGATTTTTAACCTAGATTTAAGGCTTTTGACTTGGAATGCAAAGATTTTGAGTTGGAGTGTACATGTTAAACAAAAAGTTTTTTTTTTTCAATTTCATTGGTTTAAATAAAGAGGCATTTCAATCATTTATTTATATTATTTAATGAATAAAATATTTGGTTTGATCCTTATTTTAAATTGATCCTTAGACACAATTTCTTTTTCAACTAGGTCCTTTTCACCAATTTTTTCTATTTTAAATTTATATATTATTTAAATATTTATTACAAAATATTTGACTTCCTAGGAATTTAAATATATACACACACACATATATATAAGGTTTATATATATATATATAATATTACATCACACATTTACACTCTTGATTAACAACAAAAGTTTTTATGGATACAAAATTAACTATATAATTTTCTCTTAACTTATTACTTAACTTTAAATTCTTAATATATTTTTATCCAATTAAATTAGACCAAGTGAATTTTAAAATATTAATAATATTAATAATAAGAATTTGTTGAAAATAAATAATATATATAATAAATCTACATGTCTTAATTTAATAAATAAACATCTTAACTATTAATATCTATAAATTTTTTATTTAAATAATTTGAATAACAATTCTTTTAAATTCATAGAATAAATATTCTAAAGCTTGAAAAAAAAACTATTATAAAAGCCTTTAAAGTATGATGATAAAATTGTCATTAGAATAATTAATTTATAAGTTTGAAAATTTTTAATATGCAACAAACTCGAGTAATTAGGTAGAACATTGTGAATACTGTGTGTATAATTTAGTGGGATGGTTAGAGTTAGGGGGGAAATTGGGTGGTTGTTGATGCTAGACACTTGGGTCACAGTGATTTACAATAAATAATGGAACGTTATGCAATCGAGTGGAATTTCACTATTTACTGTATATCCATTTTTTTCGTCCAAAATGTTTTATTTATTTTTTTTTTTTTTTTTGCGTTAAAGGATATCTTTATTGAAAGCGTGAAAGAAAGGTAGGGAAAAAAGAGGAAGAATTTCATCAAAGGTTGTTGAATGTGACATAATTTCAATTGAGGTCCAAATTTTTTTGAAATTCCACTGCAAGCTTAAAGGATTGGAATGAAACAAATTTTCTTAATAAATGACTAAAATGTCCTTTAATTCTAATTAACATTATTGAAATAATAAATCAATTTATAAATTTTATAAGTAACATTACTAAAATAATAAGTCAAATAATAATTTTTACAAGTAACAACAACAACAACAACAACAAGCCTTTATCCCACTAGGTGGGGTCGGCTACATGGATTGCAAGACGCCATTGTGCTCTATCATTTATTAAGCTTTTAGAAATATTATTAATTAAGAGATCACGTTCAACAACTTCCAAGAGTGTTCTCTTAGGCCTTCCTCTACCTCTCTTAATTGGACTCAAAGTTATATGTTCCACTCTTCTCACTAGTGCCTCCCTTGGTCTTCTTTGTACATGCCCAAACCATCTCAACCGATTTTCTACCATTTTTTCCTCAATAGGTGCCACCCTCACTTTTTCACGTATGTGCTCATTTCGAATTTTATCTTTACGTGTATGTCCGCACATCCATCGTAACATTCTCATCTCTGCTATTCCAACTTTATGCTCTTGCTGTCCCGTTAGAGCCCAGCATTCACTACTATATAACATTGCCGGTCTGATAGCAGTACGATAAAACTTTCCTTTAAGTTTATTAGGCACCTTACGGTCACAAATAACTCCTTTAGCTTTTCTCCAATTAAACCACCCAGCTTGAATTCTATGTGAAATATCTCCACTGATTTCGCCATCATTTTGAATAATGGCTCCCAAATATCTAAACTTTTCCACTTGAGGTATAATTTGATCTCCCAATTTCACTTCCAAATTATTTTCGAATAGTCCTTTACCAAATTTACAATATAAATATTCCGTCTTACTTCTACTCAGATGAAAACCTTTCGACTCCAATGTCCTCCTCCATAACTCAAGTTTGCAATTAACCTCTTCTCTTGTCTCTGCTATAAGAACTATATCATCCGCAAAGAGCATACATTTCGGGATTTCCTCTTGAATATGTTCCGTCAAAACATTTAAAATCAAGTTGAACAAATAAGGACTCAGAGATGATCCCTGATGTAGTCCAATCTTTATAGGAAAATCCTTTGTTTGACCACTAGGCGTTCTTATACTAGTTTTTACCCCCTCATACATATCTTGTATGGATTTAATATAAGCAATCCGTACTCCCTTTTTTTCCAACGCTTTCCAAAGCACTTCTCTTGGTATACGGTCATAAGCTTTTTCCAAATCAATAAAAACCATGTGTAGATCTTTATCTTTATAACGATACTTTTCCATTAATCCCCTTAGTAGATAAATCGCCTCTGTAGTTGATCTACCTGGCATAAAACCAAATTGATTCTCAGAAATACTTGTCTCCAATCTCAACCTGTGCTCAATTACTTTCTCCCACAATTTCATTGTGTGGCTCATGAGTTTAATCCCTCTATAGTTAGTACAATTCTGAATATCTCCTTTATTTTTATAAATAGGAATTAATGTACTTCTCCTCCACTCATCAGGCATTTTCTTGGACCGTAAAATCACATTAAATAACTTAGTTAACCATCTCACCCCTTCTTCACCTAAACATTTCCACGCTTCGATAGATATACAATCAGGTCCGTTAGCTCTACCATTTGCCATTTTCTTAAGAGCTTCCTTTACCTCCTTATCACGTATTTTTCGATAGAATGACAAATTTTGTTCTCCTTCACCAGTTACTAAATCCTCCAAGTTACTAGATGAATCCTCTCCATCATTGAAAAGTTTAGAAAAATAAGTCTCCCATCTATTTTTAATTTCATCATCTGTAACTAAAATTCTTCCCTCTTCATCCTTAATACACCTTACCTGTTCTAGATCTCTTGATTTTCTTTCCCTACTCTTGGCAATCTTATAAATATTTTGCTCTCCTTCCTTCGTCTCAAGTTTCTTATAAAATTCTTCAAAAGCTTTGGAACGAGCTTCACCCACAGCTCTCTTAGTTTCCTTCTTAGCCATACGGTACCTCTCCCAATTTTCCTCATTGTTACACAAATGTATGGCTTTAAAACAGTTCTTCTTATACTTGATTTTGTCCTATACACTATTATTCCACCACCAAGACTCCTTATCTCTCGGACCAAAACCTTTCGATTCTCCCAAAACTACTTTTGCAACCTCCCGTATCTTTTTAGCCATATCCTCCCATATGATGTTAGCACTTCCCTGAGAATCCCAAATTCCTTTATCTAAAAGATTTCGCTTGAAAATATCTTGCTTCTCACCTTTTAATTGCCACCACCTAATCCTTGGTGTTACTACTTGTCGACGTTTTTGGATTTTACTCATAATACACGCATCAAGGACTAGGACCCTATGTTGTGTGTTACACCCTCAAATTTACAGACCGATTTTTCACAAGTTATTAATTCAAGAAATCTTTTTTTTTATTTTTTTTTTTCATTGAACCCTTATCATGGTAGAAAAATTTCTACCACGATACATCCAAGACAATATACCACAGGTCTTAAAATATTTAAAAAAAAACAATTAGAACCATGAGGGACAGACATGATCCTCATAGCATGTTATTCAAATCAGATCATAAATCAAGAGGGACAGACATAATCCTCTTGATCATATAAATACTTTTAATAAAAAGGATTAGAGTTTACATGCTTCACAAAGAAGATATGTCCTAAGTTGGCACAAGATACATTGTATAATCTAAAATAAGAGGCAACGTAAAAGATGGTGTCTCATACACCACAGTTACACCTCTGGTGCTTTCTCGGCCGGACTCGCTCCTGTAAAAATATTAACCACGGGGAATGAGACTTAAAAGTCCCAGTAACCAAAAATTAATATGTAATGATGCATGCGGATGTAACTAATCATGCGATTGCTAAGTGGGCACACAAAACATTTAACCAAACAATATTTTCAAACAACCGAACAAGTATTTAATTGCATGACTGCACCTTATCTCCTCCTTTCACCATGCTCGGACGCCAAATCACCCGGCCAAAGGTGAGTTGGACCAAGCGACACGCCACTCATTGGGTCCAATGAGGGCTTACCACGTGGTAATAATTAACCGAACAGAAATTCCCATTAACACCATACATTAAAATACCCTGACAAGTCATGCATCATTCAAATATCCAAACAGGAATATATCCGAACAATAATATCTCATCATGATAAATAAAAAATAAATTTTTAACCCACTTGGCAATAATTTCAAACAAGTATATACAGTATTTATTTTCAATAATTCATAATTTTTCCAAACAACAAAACAACACATAACCATTCACAAACACACTCATCACAACACATTAATAATGGTTACCTTGTGTCTTGAATAACAAGTTCCCCTTCACAACTCCTTTTTCACCACTATCTTTGTCAATATAATCTACATAATTATTTCACAATACTATATATTAATTTTACATTAAAATAAATAACTCTAATTTAAAGAGTTAGAAAGTCTTAAATCTATAGTCCATATTAACACTAATTTAAGATTTATGCCTCATTTAACTTCCCAAATTCTTTTCTAAAATTCTCGTACCCTAATGAACTATTTTTTTTATCCTCAATTCACTTCTAGTATCACAATTTCATCCTTCTACATTCTAAAAATTCATCCAAAAATAAATTAAAAATTTTAGAATTATCCTGAAGCCTCAAATCACCTTTCTATAACCTCAAAAATACCTATTCATACTTAAATAAATATTTAATAATCATAGGTTTATCCCTACGTCTCAGATTCCACATAAATTCAACCATATAGATCTAGATTTTAACTCAAAAATTCTTAAACATGAGTTTCAACCTCAAGAAAATATTCTATAATATTTATTATATCCCTAAGAATTTTAACCTATATTTTTAATCCATCATATCATCAGATTAACTATCCTATAGAAAAATCCTAATCAAAATATTTACTCTATCCTACAAAATAATCATATCACTAGAAAGCTAATATTATTTAGAAAATAACTATAAAATTAATTTTGTAATTAAATAAATTTTTAAATGCTAATCTAAACAGGAAAGTTAGAACATACCTGAAGAAAAAGAAAATAATCCCCCTTGTGAGAAAACGCCGAGCAACGTGAGAGGAAGAGAGAAAAATAATATAAAAATGGGATTGTGAGTCCCAAAATTATATTAAAAAAAACTATAGGTTTGAATTTAATTATTCAAACTTTGGGCCAAAAGTTGCAATTTTCTCTAAATTGCATCTTAGCCTCTCATGCTTCCTAATGCACACACCCCCTCCTTTTTATACATGAAGGCACCTCTTCTCTTCCCTCATCTAACCAATGTGGGACTTAGAAACAACAACCTTCCACCCCCTTTTTTTTTGTTCCTTCTACCTTCTCTCTTTTTTTTTCAACACATACATAAAAAAAATTATTTATGTATTATATCTTAACTAAATATTGCTTATGTGGTTTTAAATTTAAATTTTTAAATTCATAATTAAATACCTAATCATAATATTATTTCTAAATAACCTCAAATAATATAAATTCCTATTATTATCATTTTTTTTCCTCAAAACCTAAATTCACAATTTCTTTATTATATAAAAATCAGGATGTTACAATTCTCCCCTCCTTTTAGAAATTTTGTCCTCAAAATTTAATAGATAAGCTTAGAAACTATGTACCTAAGCAAATAAATGTGGATAATCTCGCCTCATACTCTCCTCGGTCTCCCAAGTAGCATCACCTAGGGCTCCACCCTTCCAAATCACCTTCACGAGTCGGATGGTCTTATTGCGTAGTTGTTTGTCCTTAAAGTCCTCAATTCGCTCCGGTTCGGATCTAAAGGTCAAATTCTCCCTCAATTCTACTTCTTCAGGTTCAATAACATGGGAGGGATCCGGGTTGTACTTCTTCAACTGTGATACGTGGAACACATTATGGATACCTGCAATCTGTGGAGGTAATGCAACTCTATATGCAGTAGATCCAATTCGCTCCAAGATCTCATACGGGCCCATAAATCTAGGTGTCAATTTCTTTGCCTTAATGGATCTACCAATGCCTGTCACTGGAGAAACCTTCAAAAATACATGATCTCCTACTTCAAACTCTAACGGCCGTCTCCTCTTATCAGCATAGCTCTTCTGTCGGCTCTGAGCGGTTAGCAATTTTTGCTTAATCATTGCAATCTTCTGGGTGGTCTGCTCTACAATTTCTGGACCAATGATACTCCTCTCACTTAATTCTGTCCAACATAAAGGCGATCTACACTTCCTTCCATACAAGGCCTCATAAGGCGCCATCCCAATACTAGAATGATAGCTGTTATTATAAGCAAATTCAGCTAATGGCAAATGATTATCCCAACTACCTGGTAGTTCAATGGCACAAGCTCTCAACATGTCCTCCAAAGTCTGGATCGTCCTCTCTGTTTGTCCATCTGTTTGGGGGTGGTATGCGGTGCTAAAACTCAGTCTGGTACCCATAGCCTTCTGTAGCGCACCCCAAAAGTTTGAAGTGAACCTTGGGTCACGATCTGACACAATTCTAGAGGGTATACCATGAAGTCTAACTATCTCCTTAATGTATATCTCAGCAAATTTCTCTAATGTAGAGGTAAACTTGATCGCCAAAAAGTGAGCTGATTTGGTGAGTCGGTCTACTATCACCCAAATAGCATCCTTACTCGAGGGTGTTCTTGGCAGTCCAGTGATGAAATCCATAGAAATATCATCCCATTTCCACTTTGGAATATCTAACGGTTGCAGTGTTCCAGCTGGCTTCTGATGTTCTATCTTTATCTTCTGACACGTTAAACATCTAGAAACAAATTCAGTTACATCTTTCTTCATTCCTGGCCACCACCAACCTCGCTTCAAATCATGGTACATTTTAGTTATACCGGGATGAATTGTATATTTGCTCCTATGAGCTTCTTCTAAAAGGATATTCCTCAATCTTGGATCATTAGGTACACAAACTCTACCTTTATACTTCATCACTGTGTCCTCAGAGATGGTAAAATTTGGGGCCTTACCTACCACTATCTCCTTCCTTATATTCCTTAAGTAGTCATCACTCTGCTGTGAGACTCTGAGATCTTCCCAGAATTTGCTCTCAAAGTCTGCTACCTGGAGTGCGGCCATTTGATGTTCAATCACATCTACTGGAACATCATGAAAACTGTTCCATAAATGATATTCATGAACCATCAAATGTGCAGCATGAATAGTCTTTCTACTTAAGGCATCAGCTACCACGTTAGCCTTACCCGGATGGTAATGTAATTCAAAGTCATAATCCTTTAGAAATTCCATCCATCGTCGCTGCCTCATATTAAGCTCTTTTTGATCAAATAAATACTTCAGGCTCTTATGGTCACTGAAGATTTGAAACTTAGATCCATACAAGTAGTGTCTCCATATCTTCAGAGCAAACACAACTGCAGCTAACTCCAAATCATGAGTAGGGTAATTTTCCTCGTGTAGTCTCAACTGTCTGGAGGAATAGGCAACCACTCGGTCATTTTGCATCAAAACACATCCTAAACCCTTTAAAGAAGCATCAGTGTACAGAGTGTACGGCACCACAGGGTTAGGAATAGTCAATACTGGAGTAGTGGTTAACCTCTTTTTCAATTCTTGGAAAGCAGCTTCACATTTGTCAGTCCAAATAAATGGGGCATCCTTCTTAGTCAGCTTAGTTAAGGGCATCGCAATTTGCGAAAATCCCTTAATAAAGCGACGATAATAACCTGCTAAACCTAAAAAGCTTCGTATCTCTGTAACAGATTTTGGCTGTTCCCACTTCATCACTGCATCAATCTTGCTAGGATCCACCGCAACTCCGTCTCTGGACACAACATGGCCCAAAAACTTTACTTCTTGGAGCCAAAATTCACACTTGTTTAATTTGGCATAAAGCTTATGTTCCCTCAAAACTTGCAAGACGATTCTTAAATGTTCACCATGAGCCTCCTCATCCTTTGAATAAATAAGAATGTCATCAATAAACACTACTACAAACTTATCTAAATAGGGTCGAAAGATCCTATTCATGTAATCCATGAATACCGCAGGAGCATTCGTAAGTCCAAACGGCATCACCATGAATTCATAATGCCCATATCTCGTCCGAAATGCTGTCTTAGGTATATCCTCTGCTCTCACTCTCAATTGGTGGTACCCTGACCTTAAGTCAATCTTTGAGAAAACTGCGGATCCCACAAGCTGATCCAGCAAATCATCGATTCTCGGAAGTGGATATTTGTTCTTGATGGTTACTTTGTTCAATTGTCTATAATCAATGCACAATCGGAGGCTTCCGTCCTTCTTCTTTACAAAAAGGACTGGAGATCCCCAAGGTGAAACACTCGGTCTGATGAAACCCTTCTCAAGTAGCTCTTCAATTTGCTTTTTCAGTTTCGCTAACTCTGAAGGGGACATCCGATAAGGAGCCTTAGAAATTGGCCCTGTACCGGGTACCAATTCAATTGAGAACTCTACCTCGCGCTTTGGGGGTAAACCGGAGACTTCGTCTGGAAATACATCCGCAAATTCTTTGACAATTGGGATATTCTTCACGCCTTCATCAATCTCAGCTTGGATAGAGAAGAAAACCATGTAGGCCTGGCAACCCTTCTTCATACATCTATCAACTTGCGCCGCCGACAAGAAAACATGATCTTGAGTCTCGACTGGGGTCACCGATAAAGAAGATAAAGACACACTCCTCTCTCTACAATCTAGGATAGCACCATTTGCAGCCATCCAATTCATTCCCACAATTACATCCATACCTCTCAGTGGTAGGATAATTAAGTCCATAGTTGTTTTCCTATTTTTAAACTCGACTACTAGGTTAAGGCATGCCTTAGCAGTCCTTACAGATTCTCCCGCAGGAGTAGACACATTCATATCAAAAGGTAAAATACACACAGGCAAATCAAGGTCCTTTACACAAGTTTCAGAAATAAAAGAGTGTGTAGCACCCGAATCAAATAGTGCAACAATATCATGATGAAGGATTTTGATGTTACCTCTAATGGCATCTGGGGAGTTCATGGTGTCCTGAGTAAGAGCAAACACACGGCCAGAGACAGTAGGATGTTGGGAAGGGTTCTTCATATTTGAGCCCTGGTTGTCCCCACAAAACTTTGCAATGTGACCGGGTTTCCCACAAATGTAACAGACCCAACACTGTCCGAAATGACGACGCCCGCATTTAGTGCACTGTTGAGAGCTCGCTGTACTCGGGGCAGGTGTAGATACTGTTGGGCTCCTCTGTGACCCGTGATAACTACTATGATAGCTCCTCTGTCCTTGGCCCCTTTGAAATGGACCCTTCTGCCTTCCTTGGTTCCATGAGCTACTCGAACCCTGATGGTTTTTCTTCATAATGCCTCCGGTGGGTCGAGGGTAGGTTGGGGGTCTACTATATGAATAACCCCTCTTCTCTCTCTCGACCTCCTTCTTACTGCGAGCTACTACTTGTAGTTTTATGCACATTTCATCATAATCTCGGATATCTAGATGAGCTAATTGTTCCCTCAATTCTGGTCTAGCCTTCTCCAATAAGCGCTTAGCCTTCCATTCGGAATCATCCCTATACTGCAGGTACGTGGAGTATCTAGATAACTCCTGAAACTTAGCAATGAATGTGTCCTCATCGAGGTTCCCTTGCTTAAAGGCATGGAATTCCGCTTCCTTCTCAGACCTTAACTCTGATGGAAAGTAATGCCTGAATAATTTTTCCTTGAATTCCTCCCAGGTGAGTGTAGAATCATCCCTGGGCCCTGCTGTCTCCCACCAATCTCTTGCTCCTTTCACTAGGAGCACTAATGCTACTTGTACTTTTTGATTGCTGGTGCATGTGACTACTCGAAAGATGGATTCGAGTCTCTTCACCCATTCCTCTACCACGGATGGTTTAAGGTTACCATCAAACGTAGGAGGGTTAAACTTCCTAACAGTTTTCCACACATCAGTAATGGTCGGTGGGGCTCTCTGTTCCTCCTGCCTAATTTCCTTCCTTCTAGACTCATGATCTCTCGGAGTGGCAGGATGTGAGGAACTGCCTTCCCCCACATGACTCTCAACATGAGCCCTATCTCCATTTTCAGTTACCTTTTGCCTCTTTAGCTCCGTCAACTCTTGTTCGTATCCTTGAACCTTGTCTGTTAATGTTTTTACAAGCATTCTCAATTCCGCCAAGTCAGGCTCCTCATTTGGCAGTGGCGGTGGTAGGTGCTCATGTTGGAATCCTGAGTTACCACGAGTAACAGGCATTTTCTCTCCCCTCCTAAAGGATACAAGATATAAATAATAAAATTAGCCTAGCTATATCATGGCCATACAATGAGAAGCACCATAACAATGTATATTGCCAACCGACTATATGCTCTGATACCAATATGTTACACCCTCAAATTTACAGACCAATTTTTCACAAGTTATTAATTCAAGAAATCCTTTTTTTTATTTTTTTTTTCATTGAACCCTTATCATGGTAGAAAAATTTCTACCACGATACATCCAAGACAATATACCACAGGTCTTAAAATATCTAAAAAAAACAATTAGAACCATGAGGGACAGACATGATCCTCATAGCATGTTATTCAAATCAGATCATAAATCAAGAGGGACAGACATAATCCTCTTGGTCATATAAATACTTTTAATAAAAAGGATTAGAGTTTACATGCTTCACAAAGAAGATATGTCCTAAGTTGGCACAAGATACATTGTATAATCTAAAATAAGAGGCAACGTAAAAGATGGTGTCTCATACACCACAGTTACACCTCTGGTGCTTTCTCGGCCGGACTCGCTCCTGTAAAAATATTAACCACGGGGAATGAGACTTAAAAGTCCCAGTAACCAAAAATTAATATGTAATGATGCATGCGGATGTAACTAATCATGCGATTGCTAAGTGGGCACACAAAACATTTAACCAAACAATATTTTCAAACAACCGAACAAGTATTTAATTGCATGACTGCACCTTATCTCCTCCTTTCACCATGCTCGGACGCCAAATCACCCGGCCAAAGGTGAGTTGGACCAAGCGACACGCCACTCATTGGGTCCAATGAGGGCTTACCACGTGGTAATAATTAACCGAACAGAAATTCCCATTAACACCATACATTAAAATACCCTGACAAGTCATGCATCATTCAAATATCCAAACAGGAATATATCCGAACAATAATATCTCATCATGATAAATAAAAAATAAATTTTTAACCCACTTGGCAATAATTTCAAACAAGTATATACAGTATTTATTTTCAATAATTCATAATTTTTCCAAACAACAAAACAACACATAACCATTCACAAACACACTCATCACAACACATTAATAATGGTTACCTTGTGTCTTGAATAACAAGTTCCCCTTCACAACTCCTTTTTCACCACTATCTTTGTCAATATAATCTACATAATTATTTCACAATACTATATATTAATTTTACATTAAAATAAATAACTCTAATTTAAAGAGTTAGAAAGTCTTAAATCTATAGTCCATATTAACACTAATTTAAGATTTATGCCTCATTTAACTTCCCAAATTCTTTTCTAAAATTCTCGTACCCTAATGAACTATTTTTTTTATCCTCAATTCACTTCTAGTATCACAATTTCATCCTTCTACATTCTAAAAATTCATCCAAAAATAAATTAAAAATTTTAGAATTATCCTGAAGCCTCAAATCACCTTTCTATAACCTCAAAAATACCTATTCATACTTAAATAAATATTTAATAATCATAGGTTTATCCCTACGTCTCAGATTCCACATAAATTCAACCATATAGATCTAGATTTTAACTCAAAAATTCTTAAACATGAGTTTCAACCTCAAGAAAATATTCTATAATATTTATTATATCCCTAAGAATTTTAACCTATATTTTTAATCCATCATATCATCAGATTAACTATCCTATAGAAAAATCCTAATCAAAATATTTACTCTATCCTACAAAATAATCATATCACTAGAAAGCTAATATTATTTAGAAAATAACTATAAAATTAATTTTGTAATTAAATAAATTTTTAAATGCTAATCTAAACAGGAAAGTTAGAACATACCTGAAGAAAAAGAAAATAATCCCCCTTGTGAGAAAACGCCGAGCAACGTGAGAGGAAGAGAGAAAAATAATATAAAAATGGGATTGTGAGTCCCAAAATTATATTAAAAAAAACTATAGGTTTGAATTTAATTATTCAAACTTTTGGGCCAAAAGTTGCAATTTTCTCTAAATTGCATCTTAGCCTCTCATGCTTCCTAATGCACACACCCCCTCCTTTTTATACATGAAGGCACCTCTTCTCTTCCCTCATCTAACCAATGTGGGACTTAGAAACAACAACCTTCCACCCCCTTTTTTTTTGTTCCTTCTACCTTCTCTCTTTTTTTTTTCAACACATACATAAAAAAAATTATTTATGTATTATATCTTAACTAAATATTGCTTATGTGGTTTTAAATTTAAATTTTTAAATTCATAATTAAATACCTAATCATAATATTATTTCTAAATAACCTCAAATAATATAAATTCCTATTATTATCATTTTTTTCCTCAAAACCTAAATTTCACAATTTCTTTATTATATAAAAATCAGGATGTTACATTGTGTCGTTACAGCATCTCTAAGGATCACCTTACAATTTTTACAAAGTTTTTTATCTGTGTTCCTAACCAAAAGAAAATCAATCTGCGACCTTGAGGCTCCACTTTTGTAAGTGATGAGATGCTCATCTCTCTTCTTGAAACAAGTGTTGGCAATTTTAAAATCATACGCCAATGAGAAATCAAGAAGAGTTTGCCCTTCATTGTTTAGCTCTCCAAAACCAAAACCATCATGCACCCTCGCATACTGACCAGCTTCCCTCCCGACATGCGCATTAAAGTCTCCTCCAATAAAAATCTTTTCACTCTGTGGTATGTGTCGAATCAACCCCTCCAGATTCTCCCAAAATAATTCTTTAAGACTGGCTTCTGTCCCGACCTGCGGCGCATAAGCGCTAACAATATTAACAGTCTCACGTCCAATTATCATTTTTAAAGAAATAATTCTGTCTCCAATTCTACTAACTTCTACAACGTTCTTCTTCCACTCCTTATCTATAATGATGCCTACTCTATTGCGTGCACTTACTTTTCCTGTATACCAAAGTTTGAAACCTTGAATATCCTTAGCTCCTTCTCCACACCATTTTGTTTCTTGCAAGCAAAGGATATTGATTTTCCTTTGAATCATAACTCCTACAACCTTTACAGATTTACAATTTAATGTCCCAACATTCCAAGTACCAAATCTAATTTTGCTCTTATGGACTAACTTCTTTAGCCGCGTGCGTCCAGAATGACGCGGTAGCCCTTGCTCATTTAACACTACATCCGGGCGCCGATGCAGCGGCTCTAACTCACTTATCACTGTACTCGAGCCATGCAGCGCATTACTTACGGGCAACGACCTAGCATTAACATTATAACGTCTATTGTCCATGTTCATAATAGATTCAACAAATTTTTACATTGACTGTTGATGGCCTAACACAACCCTCCTCCTTTACCCGGGCTTGGGACCGGCTATAAACATAGGCGGAGTTAATTTTTACAAGTAACATTAACATAAATAACAAGTCAAATTATGATTTTTATAAATAACATAATTAAAATAACAAATCAAATTATAATTTTTGTAAATAATATTAGCAAAATAGTAAGTCAATTTACAGCTTTCACAAATAAAATTATCATAATAACAAGTCAATTTATGATATTTATATGTAGTATTATTATTACAACAAATCAAGCTATGGTTATTGCAAATAATATTATGAGAATAACAAGAGTTATGTTTATTCTAATAATATTACTAATAAAATATGTGACTTAATTTGTTATTCTAGTAATATTACTGGTAAAAATCATTACCTAACTTATTATTTCATTAATGCTAATAACAATTGAAAAACATTCTAGTCATTTAATTAAGAGAATTTATTTCATTTCAGTTTTTTATGCTTGCAGTGAATTTAAAAAAAAAATTTTGCCTCAACTGAAATTATGCCACATTTAAATGCCTTTAATGAAATTCTCCCTACAAAATAAGGTGAGAAATGAGAATATGTAAGAAAATTGCTTTTTTCCATTTTGTACTTTTGTAAAAAATTAAGATTTAAAGATAAAATCTGGATTATTTATATTAAGTGTAAGTTTTCGTCCATCTTGATAAATTTCAGTTTTTCTTGCTTGTTCCTATCTTGGCATGTGATCAATCTGTCATTTCCTTTTTTGCCAAGATTAATCTGTCATGTTGATTCATTTTGTTTCTTCTTACAACTGTATGATATAATTTTAATTGTTCAAATAATTTACCAATAAAAAGGCAATATTGTAGCAAATTGCGTACATCGCCTATTCAGGATGACATTAAAACCTTCTAACATGCCATGACTTTTAATCTGTCCCAAACAAATTTATTGAAATTGAAATTGAAATCTAAAAAGAAGCGAGCATAAATAAATTAATTAGTTAAATAAAATGGGGTCCTAGTACCTGACCCAATCTCAAGTTGCTGACTTAATATTAAGTTTGCCGTCTCCGCAATCACTTGTTTGTATATGATGATACGGATCCATGTGACTAACATCATCTTTAATCATAACATCAATTAGTGATTGTGATACATCCCCCTTTGTTTAATCTAACCTACCTGTAAATTGACCCTCTTGAATTCAAGCAAGTCAACGTTGATGAATCCGAGTGCGGTGAATTTTCTAACAATTCGGTGGCCCATTTAGTCAGGACCCTGTCCAAGGCACCTGGATCAAGATGGGCTGGACCGAAATTGAAAGGAATGACAAAATTAAGAAAAACGACATCTCAAGTCAACCCAAGTATACTCAAGGTTTCATTTGCTTCAGTTATTTATAATTCCCACTAGGAAAAGCTGGTCCCACCTTAAATAGCTCAACTTTGAGGTTTCAAGATATAAACTCAAGTATTCTAAATTGATCATATTTCTCAAGCCCAACTCTCATTAACATAGGCTCAAAATTGAGCCGAGCAACCTAAAAGCACGTTTGAGAATTTATAATTGAATGAAAAAGAACAATTATTAATAGGATGTAACGGAATGGAGCAAAATAAAGTGAAATAAAATAAAATTTTTTATTGATTGAGAGTTTTATAATGAAAAGGAATGATTTTCCATAACCATTGTTTGGAAGTTATTATAAAATGAATGGAACGAAACGGTTTAAAACTTTTTTTTTAATATTACTCATATGATTACATTTAAAGAAAATAATAATGCCATTAAATAATTATAATATTTATCTAATAAATAATAATAATTATTATTAAAATTAATGGTTAAACAAAATACTAAAAAATTAAGAATAAAAAAAGCAAGTAATAGAACTATTCATGCAAACATTCATGTTGCCCAAAAGGAAAACACAACAAATTTATAGTGTTGACAGATACGACAAAGAGAGATAGTGAGAGCGAGAGAGATATGGTGAGAGATAGGATTATATCTTATGCTTGAATGCTTGATCAATCCAACCTTACCTGAAGCATTAGGCCGCATGGAGCCAAGCATCAGCAGGGGTCAAACCTTGCTTTGTCCAAATATGTGCAAGTTTTTTTTTTTAAAAAAATTTTTGTGAATAATATTTATCTTATGAAATTATTTTTTATTAAATATCATGAATTATATTATTTTTATGATTTAGACATTTTTTTCATTACAATTTTTTAAATCTCTTTCAAAATTTAAAATTAATTTTTAACTTATTATTATGTAAAAATAATTGGTAATTTCTGTTCATTTAAACTTTTAAAAAATTACTTTCGATTCTAATATTAATTTTATGAAAAATATATTTTAAATAATAATAATATTTTTTCAAGAAAAACTTTTTTGTATATTTTTTAAAAAATACTTGTAAAAATATTTTCAGGCCAACTAAGCTAGCCTGATGCCCAAATGCACATTAGGTTGAACACCAAGCTGGGGTGATATCAGCCTAACTCTATTCATGTACAACCTTAACAAGAGGTGAGAGAGATGAATGAAAAATTAAAAGAATAGATGAGATTTTATTTATTAGGATAAAAGGTTGGAGGCAATTTTATAAATGAAATAATTATACCATGCCACTCCATTCTTGACCCCCCAATTTTGGGAGACAAAAAAAATTGAGCTATGAATAGCAAAAAAAAGCTTTAAAGCTCCTTCCTTGCCATTACATCCTTCTTTAAAAAAAAAAAAAAAACTCACAAATAATAACTTATATCTTTTAACCATCCCACTCCACTCCATTTCCTCCAAAAAATATCTTCCAAACATAGTGTAAATGTCAAACTAAAATAGATCATTAATTATTAATTATTATTATTAGTAATTATCCTAAATATCTTCATGAATTTTTAGATTATTTAAATCATAAAATCTTCTAGAATTTTTCATTTTATAAAAAAATAATTTTAGTATTTAATTATTTTATAATTTTATAATATCTTCACGTTTATTTGTATTTTTATGATTTTCTTTCTTATCTATCATATAGATTATTTTCACAATTTATTTTACTTTTTAAAATAATCAAAAATATATTTTTTTTAGATTCTAATTATTTTTAAAAATTTAAAAAAACTAAACCAAATTTCATAAAATAGACTTTTTTAAAAAATGTAAGTGATTTTTCACTAAAAAAAAAAAGCTTAAATAAACAGGGTCTTAATTTATATGGAGGTAACACATTATAATAATCAAATACATCTAAGATATAGATGTAAAAAAAAAAAAAAGAATACACCTAAGATATAAAAACATACTAAAAAATTTCAAATTATTAAAATATCCATGAAATCAATCAATTTATAATTTCAAAAAATATACTCTCCTTTCAAAAATATAAGACATTTTTAATTAAATCTCACTCTTAATAAAATAATTACATATTTTTAAATTAATCCTGTCTTTCTATATTTATTTTTATTAAATATCTTACAATAAATAAAAAATCATACACTTTTAAAAAAAAAAAAAGCAATCATCATACTTCAAAAGACTATAAATGCCGCACATTTTTAAATATCTAACTCCTCAAAAAATATTTTATATTTTTAAATGAAGAAAGTAAACTATAATTCCACAAATACTTACAATAACTTACTTTTTTTAATAGTCCTCAAAAGTGATTTTATTTTTTAAATATTTAATTATAAGTTTTATAAATGTTGTTCCTCATCAGCCAATTAGGCCTCTGCGTTTGGAAGGACAAATTTGTTAGTTAACGTCAAAGACGGGAAGAAGCTTAGGCCCAAAAAAATGGCAAGCCTAACCTAAACATTGTTCTACAATTTTACAATCATGATCCAACAATCTGTTTTCAGGAGAATTACATCTAGATTTCATATAAAAAAATTAATTACTATAAAATCTATTAATCATTAAACTAAGGTCATTCACAATACATGACAATGGCTTTAGTTTAACTGTCAATTAATTTTATAGTAATTAATTTTTTTATATGGGATTTTAATATAATTCTCCCTTTGTTTTTCCCTACACCCTATAATATTATTTTTCTACAGTAACTAGGACAAAAACAAAAATATATTAATACAATGCAAGTCCCGAGTTTGGCTGATCATGTATCTGACTATACTATAACGACAAAATTAAAGCTCCAAGAATAGATGAACATAAAGGACTTAGCTACACACCTTACTTGGCGGAATCAGCAAAATCCTTGAACTGGTGAAAGTAAAGCACGACAAAAATGACACCAAAAGTACAAAGTGTATGTAGCTCTGAATTCTCTACACACTGGGTGGAATCAAGCAGCAATCTCAAGATAACAAAGACATTAGTCTACAGGCAGAAGAAACTTTCTTCAAGTGGCCATCTCCCATGCTGAAAAGTTGTGAAGACGCAGCACCAAAAAGGAAAAGAGGTAAAAAAAAAAAATTATGGCTCTTATTCCCAGTAAACAGACTAAAGCTCATCTCTGGGAGTGTTATCACCTTTTCCCGGTGAGAGAGGCCACTGAAACATTTGAGAAAACTCATCGCCTGTTTGCCCTACCTTCCCATTACATACTGTATAAAAGTCATGCTTCTTATGAGGCGTAATAACTCTTTCCTGTGCAAGAGAACACATAAATAAGAATACTATAATAGAAAGATTCAACAACTAAAGTATAGCATGGATGATCTGAAGCATTAAAGCAGGATTGCTCAACTACCTTGAATACTTCGTATGGACAGAAATCAGAACCGTGACAAGCCTGAGGGAAAAATCACAAATAATAACAAAATTACCAATGCTATGGTTGACATTGATCCATTACATTAAATAGAATTTCATGCAACGACAATGAAATCCTAAAACCACTGAACAGCATAAAATTCTTAAAAGTATAAACTGTAGCTAAAATTCAATTCAAATCTGCATAATGTCACATCAATGTCAAAAGCTTACTGGCATTGGAATGGGGTGTTCATTGTGCAGCACTCGCACAAAGTAACTGCTAGTGGATTTGTTTGTAGCTGGACAACTATAGAGGACCAACATATTGTTACCGGCAAAAGGTGCTACCATGCTCCCCCGCCATTTTCTTTTCTGAGGGGGCATTTGAGGGAGCCGCAAAGGTTGCTCCTTCTGAATCTGTTCAAATTCTGCAAGCAGCCGAAGTGACAATGACTGTAAGCACACAGCTAGTGGAAATTCCCAAGTAAAAGGATCCTTGATTTAGTTTGCATTTATTCATGCTATCACTTTAAAGCCTCACCAGATCCTTCAAGAAAAAGACCAAGCAGGCATGAGAAAGGAACCACAGTTTCAGCATGTGCAAACCGAAGTCTTGCCTTTTCATAGCTGCCAGGAGCTTGTTTTTCTACAAAAATAACCAGCACTGTGAAAACGTGCTAAAGGAAATTTTCAAACAGACATCATTCAAAAGGAAAAAAACCTTATCTACAGAGACACCCAACTATTCTCCTTGCTCATTGTGCATTAACCAAAAAAGAAAAAAAAAACAAAAGAAAAAATTCAACAATAAACCAGTGGAAAGGTCAAAATTTAGTATTCCAAAGCATTTAACGTCAATTCCATATATTATGAAGCATGGATGAGAAAATATGAGGACATGAACCAAAAAAAAAAAAAAAACAAACATAATCCACAAACCACATGAAATATCAAGAGCTAGAATCATTAACATGCAGTCCAGAGCCAATGGTAAAAATCCATAATATGTGAATACTGAAATCAATCCAAGTCAGAGAGGAATGTGACGTTATAATTGAAATAAATCAAGGAATTATATACTATATTACTAGTTTATAAAGCAATGATTATAAATTTAAGTCTGAGAAAATATCATGTCAAATTCAAAGAGCATGGTTTAATGAAAAATCTAACATATAGCTACGTGTATGGGTAGGAATGGTTTACTCTCTTGCAGAGTAAGGATTTGACTTTCGTGAGTTCCATATATATGAGATACATCATTTTATTATGGCAAAAAATAATAATTTATGCAGTTGAGTGGGTTAAAAATTAAAATACATTTTCATAGGTCAAAAGACAATGGTGACTTTTTCAACCTGTACAAAACAGTTAAAAGTCAGTAATTTACAGATGACATCGTATAATCATTCTCAATAGATCTTATCCAAGTAAATTCCATGCTATATGGTCACACAACCATCTGTAAGTACGATCTAACCCGAAAAATTTAATCCATATATAAATATTATTACATGTTTGATACAGTAGAATGACATGAAAGTTAGAGCTTATCAAACTATTTCAAGATTTTCGCTTAATAGCTCAAGTCACTTTGTAAGGACCAAATTGCAAGCTAAGAGAATTGAGTCCCACCCTAGAAATGCAGCATTCTAATAGAGGGTTTACAAGGGGCTTTGGGCTCTCTAGCCTCATTGAGTAGCTTTTGGGGCATGGTTCTTCAAAACGGTCCTTTCACACTTCAAGCCCAATAGGCTCATCTAATGGGGCACATTTGATATTTTATTAAACTATTTATAATCTTCACGTAGAAGTTCAAGCTTTAAGAGGCAAATTGGTCTCTGACAACATTCAAGGCAAATAAAAAGAGACTGCAACAGTTAGGAAAGCAACAGATTTTTCCTAGATAGGAACCATTTACTACAGTCATATACGAACCATAAATAAGTGAAAGTTAAGAATAATATATGTAACTTTATTATGACAAGGGCCCCTATCTTGTGTTGCAAGCTCATTTGGGAGTTTGGTCTATGAATTATGTGACAGGCACTGCCTATCCCAGAATGCCTGAAATAAACACACACACACACACACAAACTACCTTCATTAGCCTGAATAGCTTGCTCCATGGATTGAACAACATCTTCAAGTAATGGCATTCCCATTCTATAGTTTAGTGATTTACCATAACCCTTCAATATATACAGCTCCAAGTCATCCGTCCACTCTAACAAAGTAATCTAAGCAAGCAAACAAAATCAACATTTCAATAAGCATACAATAGCATAAGGATAATAAATATACACCAAGTTTTTTATTTTTTAAAAAAGAAAATGTTGATCACTTTGCAGGAAAATCTCATTAATTGTCCAAATGTCTGCCCAGATATATTCATTTTCTTGCTCATCAACCTGTCCATTTTCTGTTCTGTTTCAGTATTGCTAGTCAACAACACGTTGAAGAGATTTCCAGTTCTATGTCAAGAACAAATTATGGAAAGACCAAGTCAAACTTGGCTTTATACATTCAGGTCAGAATTAACTCAATTCCAAACATCTTTAATATCAGAGGACATCAAGAATCAGGTCTCATATTAAATCACAATAGTATGAACGCTGTACCTCAGAAGGGCTGAAAAGTCTACATGCTTGATTTGTTATATCCAACAAGGATGCTTCCTGCAAAGATCAACCACCAATTCGGTAATTGTAAAGAAAAAGCAACCTCCATTGCATTGCACCAGTAAGATATTAGTTGCAGACTCCCAAAAAACAGAGTACCATTTTCGTGTTTAAATGAACAGGGGTAGGGCATAAGGAAAAGTGATCACCTGTTTACACAGAAACCAAAGAGAAGATGCATCCTGCCTCGTAAAATTCAGCCCATAGCGCTCAATTAATGCAGACGTAATCTCATCCAGGATAGGCTCCTTAAGTTTATTAACAGCAGGCTCCTGGCTTTGCCTGAAATTCTGCAACGATAACTTGAGAAATTATGAAAAAGAAACAAAGTAAAATAAAAATCAATAAAAAAAAAAATACAAAACTAGACACCATTATATGATGAATGCAGTACCTTAAAGTAACACTAAGGATCACAGGCAGTCTCAAAAATCCATAAAATAGTATCAATTAAGGTAAAACCCATGCCCTTGAATATTTTTTTCCAATTAATCTTATAATCTTGCATTATCATTTAGCAATAACTATGCTGCCTATGATTTACCTCCAACAGCCTCCTTACCACAAAAAGCAACTTTCATATTCAACCTACAATATAGATATACAAAGTGAAATGTCTTAATGTCAACAAGAAGAAGATAGTATTAACCATACACTATCAACTGTGTTTCAGTCTATGTGATAACCTTCAACTCCCAACAAACACTTACCCTGCTAGCTAATCCAACACTTACTTTCTGATCATCTACCAGAGTTCTAAAGAAGATACGAGTCATTTCAGATCATTTAGTACAAAATAAGTTCCATCAGAATGCTATGATAGGTACGGAAATGCCCCTCCCCCCCCAACCTAAAAAAAAAAAAACACTCGCCAAGAGCAAGAACAACTTTATGATGTTATTACAAAGAGGATCAAAACAGAAACAAAGACAACGAGAATAGTTTATGAACAGGGTGATAGATAGTGTTTGGATGGTTATACATGGCATCATAAAGCATAAAAGGCATACATGCGAAAAGAAATTAATATGTATAGAATTTAATAATGAAAATTATGTGAAACTCAATCAAGCACAAGCCTAAAGTGCATATTACAAGTCATATATAAACTCAATTATGGACTCATGGCCACAAAATACCTTATAGTTAGTACAAGAATCAAAGAATCTCAGAAGTATGTCACTGGCACGATTTTCACTAGTAACAGCAAAAGCTCGGTGATTCCCTGGACCAAGACTCCCATTGCCAATGAAAAGCCCCATTCCAAATGCCACAGCACTAGCTGATGCTCGAGGAACCTGTTTGACAGAAAAAATAGTTGCACAAGCTTTCCAAGTTAGATTCTATGCAAGCAGCCAAGCATAGAAAATTTCTATCTTAATCCACAGCCTATGAAGCTCAAACACTTAATAAGAGGAGCCATTTTTATGTCTGACACATGCCCAACACTTGTCAAGTCATTGTGGCCATGTCAGCATCCATGCTTCAAAGCTCAAGATTTAAATTGCAGATGCAGTAAATTTGACAACCCAATCATCACATCTATCCATCAGCTCTAACAATTAATTTCTTTCTTGAAATAAAGAGATATTGTCTAGCCCCAAACGTTGTCTAGCGCCAAACGTCCAACCATATTAATTAAATTAAATCACAAAATTAGAAAAAGAGAACGCAAATCAATATTGACAAAGAAAAGAAAGTTCAAGATAAACTCACCTGAGTAGCCTTTATAGGATATATATCTGGATGGTACTCCTCATCAAACAAATGTGGAAATTTTTCCCTAGTCCTGATCCCAAGATCATATAATTCCTCCTCTCCTTTGCTAATTAATTCACCACCCTTGAGCCGTCCTTTCCAAGGAGATTCCCATCCACGTAACCATGAAGGAATTCTATCCAACAGTAAATTTTGTTTTTCCGCATCGCTAATCAATGATTTCAAATGATCTGCCAATGTATCTAATTCTCTAATCCTTTTCTTGGTAGGAGATCGAGTTCCATGTCTTGCCTAAAGATATGAGGTAGCATCAACGTCCATTTTCCATTTTGTAAAATTGGCAGACAAATTTAATCACCAATTGTCACAGATAGATGATTTTAGAAGGAAAGGAATTTTGCAATAAAGCAAACCATTTATCTAAAATTTTCTCCTATTTCTAAATAATCTATTGTAACTATGACACAATTATTTGTATCAGTGGAGAGCTCAACAAGTGTCAGGAAAATTACCACAAGATTTAAGTGGAGTGGAAAACATCCTTCAGGAATATCAGAAGGAACAAAGGAGTTGTCAGCAATGTCTTTCACAGCACCATATCTGCAGTGAAAATCAAGGAGCAATCAAACAATCTGATACAAATGTAAACTTCAACATTCAAATTCAATGACTAAGCTACAAGAATAAGACAATATGATGAGTTAGTCTACCCACACACTGGAAATCCTTGAAAAGTCACATCACTATTTCAGAAAAATATAGGATTATAAATACACACTAGAAAAAAAAGGAAAATATTTTGAGAAATGTCACTCAATACATGCCAATTCAAGCTAATTCCAGACATGCTGCTAAACATGGATGATAAAGGACAATGAAACACAAGCCTCTACACTCTATCTCTCCAAAACTCAGTTTACTTATATGAGGTTAATTCCTACAACAGTGAGCTGAAGTATCAACAGCCAGTTAAGTAATAGTGAAACAAAATCAAAATCAAAATCAAAATCAAAATAATACAAAAAAATAAATTCCACAATAATATAGTTTGTCATAAATTGGTCTTCCATGTTAAAAGAAAACAAACCAAAAGCAGCAAAACCAACTGTTTCTACAACATGAATTAGCATGCAGCAGCTGTCAATCACAATACTCTCTTTTAGCATATGAAAGTATATCTTTTTAAAGAAATGAGAACATACTCTTTCAACCGCAATATCAGAATGGCTGAAGCTAATTTTCCATTGTCATATTTAATACTATTAGAAGCAATCTGTTGTCAAGACAAACTTAGATTTTACACAGTTGCTATAAATCATATCGTCTATAATAACTTAAATTAGGGAGATGTCGTATTATTTGAGAGAAAAAATAATGAAACAAATTTTTAAATCTAAAAACAGTCTACAAGCTATAAACAAACACCATTTTGTTGAATTTAAAACTATTAAGTTTTGCAACCCCAAAACACCGACAATGAGATGCCGATCCAACATTTAGTCATAGTTGCAACTTGACTACTATTGGACAGACATCACTGTCATCTGTTCACACAATATTAATTCCGAGTCTATTGTGTCGCATCGATAACCACCACAAAGCAGAAAATTGAGCAGGATGAGTATGCATTATAGCAAATCAAATTTATTGTGATATGATTCTTTCCTAATTTAAATTTACTTAATCAGCTTGAAAAGGATTTAAATTAAAAATATCATTCCTATTCACCAATATATATACAACCTTCAGCATTCAATAATTATACGTGTGAAATTTTAGTAAGCAACATTGGTCTCTTACAACTTATGAGAGAACTTGATTGGTGTTAAGACATGTAGGTTGAAGAGTCCTGTCAAGGAAAGGAGAGCTTTACAATTGCTTTGAAAACTTCTGCATAAAGTCCTAGTCATTGATATGTGTGTGCGTAAGTCTTATGAGTCAAATAAGTTGTGGAACCAAACAAGGACATCCTCGAAAGCTATTCGGATTTGACAGAAGCTAAGGGATGAGCAATGAAATCAAATGCAGAGGCGGCCGCGTCGATGATAAGAGTGAGCGTCTTATCAAATAAACCACCCGGCCTAATTCCAATAACGCTGGAAACAATCACGAATTAGGGTTGATGAGAATCAAAGAAGCCAATATACGCTAATCGGCCAGACGTTTTACAGATCAATGCTAATTAAACCACGCGAAATACAAAATCCGTAAAACAAAAATGTAGAAAGGGAAACGGTAGCAGGATTAAAAAAATCGGATCGAAATTCGCAAGAGACCTGGACACAGTGCAGAGATGTTGGCGAACATCGAAATCTTCTTCTGCATTGGAGTAGTTTAACTTGGAGGAGAGAAGTATCACGAGAAAAAGCAAAGCATGCTTCATCGTCCCTGCAGTTAAACTGCACAATCGCGTCAAGACTGAAGTTCCGTGTTACAATTTACCGCAACCGAAAGGCTAGTTTCCTAAGAACTGAAAAGTAACGGTGGGGACTGGAGAGCATTCTGGATTCTGGTCAGCGGATATAGAAATAGAGCGCGTAATGAGTCGGCCTTTACTTTAGTTGTTTTTGCCCGTTTGGTTCTCCATGAGAGGGTGTGGAGGGGCAGTTACGGTGTGTTCGGCGCAACACATGGCTTTTTTGTTTTGGTGTTTGGGGGGTTTGGAATTTCAACCTAGAAAGTAGGAAATAAGGGGGAGTTAATTTTCCTCTATTTTGTTTTAATAATCATTTATTTTTAGTTTAAAAATTGGAAAAAAATTAACCTATAAATCCTTATTTTCAGGTTGGCAAAAAAAATCCTTATTTTCTGAAATAAAGTCAAATTATGTTAAAATATAAGAAAAAATAATTACATAAAAAAAGCCTCAAGAAGTAACTTCTCAACATTATATTAAATTATATTAAAAAATATATATTAAATTATTTTTTTCCAAAATGATGAAACTTTTTTTTTAAAAAACTAATCATTTATTAATAATTTTAACATTTAGGAATTAACATATATAACAGAACAAACTGTAAGAGTCTGATTAAAATAAAATATATTACAAAAACTTAATTCAAAATTAAGAAAAACTATAAGGGCTTACAAATTAATTGGATTAATAAGCATTCTAAATCATAAAATATTATACAAATAGCAAATTAAATCTTGAACTCTTAATATGTATAAAAAATTTTCTTAATTTATAAATTCTGAACACCTAAAACCTCATCATTAAGTTAGAAAAAATGATCATTATTTTTATAGTTTTGGGATCTAGTCACACATTGATAAGGCACTCATTATGACTCTTTAAAAATAATGATCATTTTCTCTAACTTAACGACAGGGTTTCAAGCACCTAAAATTTAAAAGTAAAGGAAAATTTGCACACATTTTAAAAATTTAAGGTTTAGAATGCTATTTATGTAATAGTTTAGAGTTTAGAATATTCATTAATCTAAATTAATTCTCCCTTAAAGAATAGAAAAATAAATTTTAGAATTAGAAACTAAATTAAATTAAAATTACAATGACTATATGGTGATCAACACCGATATATTCTCTGCTATTCAGAAAGTACTTAAATGCATTAATCTAAAGCTAGAACAGAATAATTGTCAGAGTTAAAATTCACACATCACTTTGCTTCATTTTTTTAGTGCTAATTACTTTTTATGAAAGGTTTCTCCATCCTATATAAATATTAATTAATTAATAATTAATTTTAAGTTAGAATGAATGATTTGGTTCCATATTAACATGTTTATTATATATGAATAATTTCATTCCATATAAATGCTAATTACAATCATTGCCGTGCGACATACATAGTTGTTTTAGACTTTTAGTATTTGTAAAGTAAAAAAAAAAAAAATTGGTTAAAGTATTTTATTAATCCTTTAACTTTACATAAAGTTTTAATTTAATCTCTTAATTTTATAATTTATTTTTTTAATCATCTAACTCTTACAACATTAGTTTTAAATAATTATCTTTTGTACCAATAATTATTATTTTTAAAAAATTATACTTAATCATCGATAATTAAAAATATTTTTTTAATATTTAAAAGTTTAATATAAAAAAATTTTGTAACGAAATCAGTGATTTTAAAAGTAAAAGACTAAAAAAATACTTTATAAAATTAAAAAATAAAATAAAACCTTATATATTATTAAAATATTAAATGTATATTTAAAAAAATTAAAAAATATTACGCTAAACAATAAAATGTTATATTATATAATTTTTCTTATTCATACTTATATTTTATTCTATTATTTATTATCTTATACATGTGAAAAATACATTCAACAAATTATGTTATTTAAAATTTATTACTTTGTGTAAGCTAATTTCAAACAAATAAAAATCACTAGGTTACATACGCACTCTAAACACTTTTGTCTGAATTAATTTTGTTATTTTATTACAAATCTTACCCTTTATTTTTACTATATGTCTTGTTGTCTAATATCAACCATTATTTTTCAATTTAAGTCTCACACGTTTTTTTTTTTTTTTTGTGAATCTCACTCAAATTTTTAAAATATAAAAAATTTTAGAACGATAACACTGAATTTTTTTTGGGGACAAAAACATTACTCATTACATATTTAAGGATTTTTTTTTTGGCAATCATATTTAACGATGGTTTGCAATATATATAAGATAAGATGAGTTAGGATTAATTTCACTATTTCTAACTTTGTATCTCAATTACAATTAGAGATGGGAATATAAGTTGGGTTATTTAGGTTTATCTATCCAAATATAAAGGTTAGGACGGTAGGGGAAAAATTGACTTGAATAAAAATGTTTTTTTTATTATTATTGGGACCAAATAACTTATGAACCAAATAGATTAGCTTTGACTGGTTAGGTATGACTCACTTAGCCTGCATTATTTATAAAAATATTTTAAAAAATGGAGGTAGTTTTGTCATTACAACTTCACAAGACAAGCAGATTTAGAGTGGATCAATCTCATATATTTATGACGTGAATTTTTTTAGCAGCATGGAATATCATATAGTCATATTAGAACTTTATCACTTGGGTATTTAAAAAAATATTCATGTAAAAAATAAGTAAATGAGTTGGTGACCTACTCATGAAATCTCAACCTGTATAAAAATAAGTTGAATCCAATTCAAAGTACATTTTGTCCAATCCATGTATTTTAGGTTGGTTCACATTCCAAATTCTAATTTCCATCTTTCTGTTTAAAACATCCTTGAACAATCTCGTTCTTTATTCAAGTTAGATAGAAATAAAGTTGCAACTTGCACGCTAAGGCAGGAATGTTTTTCAGGACATAATTTTTTTAAAAAAAAAAAAAACTTGATACCTGACTTGGTCTTATAAAGTCTTCAAAAGTAGAATATATATGTGCAATAATATCTCCAATTTTTAAGTTTCACTTGTGGCAGGGGGTTGCAAAGAAAGTCAAATATGTTGTAATGTAATGCAAGCAACGTGTTGGCCAACAAAAAAAAAAAAAATACCTAAGCAACGAAAACATCAAGCTGATATTAATACATTTAAGTTTGATACGGACATTGAGTTGAATGAAATTAATAAAATATAATAAAATGATAATTTAAAAATATAAAATCATACTTTCTCCATTAAAAAAAAACATTTTTTGAGGAGTTGAATGTTCAAAAATATAAAACATTTTTAATCTTTCGAGGTATAATCATTACTTTTTTTTTAAAGTGGCCATATTGATAATGACTTTATATTTATTGTAGGGTGTTTAATAAGAGTGAATATGAAAAGATAAGGTTAGTTTGAAAGTAGATACCTATTTTATTGGAGAGTGGGATTTGTTTAAAAATGTCTTACATTTTCGAACGGAGAGAATATTTTTATATGAAAGAATACTTTGTCTAAAAAAAAACTACTATTTTTGTTATATAACATTAATAAAATTCTATTTTCACAATACTCAATTATAACCTAATTAAATAATTATATAAAAAAATAAAATTCGATTTATTGTATGCAATGAAATGATGAAAAGGCCTCTTCCTTTCATACACGGAACAAAGAATATTAAAAATTCAATTCATATGTCCGATAGCAAAAAATAAAATAAATAAAAATAAACTAAATACTACTAAATCATACAACAATATAAACAATATGAGCATTATGAAAATGGCGAAAGTGACAAGTGAAGACCCTTTGAGTTGATAACTTAAAAAATACTCCCTCCGTTTAAAAATATAAGGTATTTTTTAAAGAGTTGAATGTTTAAAAATGTAAAGCATTTTTAATCTTTTGAAAGGTAATTATTGCTTTTTTTTTTTCAAAAGTACCTTTATTAATAATGACTTTATATTTATTACAAAGTGTTTAATAGGAATAAATATGAAAAGATAGCATTAGTTGAAAAATAAATAACTATTTTATTGAGAAATGAGATTCAATTAAAAATATCTTATATTTTTTAATGAAGGGAGTATTGCATGGGGGCATGATGATATCTTACTTCATAGTGAATAACACTACCTCATTCGAATCCCATTTGAGCAAGGGATCGATGTCTACGTTTCTTATGTATAAAACCCAATGGCTTAGTTAAATACTAAGCCAAAGTTGCCTCAAAATTCTAACATATAATCAATTTATAACAAAAATAAGAATATATTATTTTTGTGTCACTATGAGCATGTATTCTCTATCTATCTGTTAGACATTAATCTTTCTTAGGCACGGAAAGCAAATAATTGACCTCGCCCAATGAGATTATTTGCTCTATGTATAATGGTTAAAAATTTAAAAGCCTATAATTAAAGAAAGATCCTAAAAAAGTAAACTACACGGTTAAATGAATTCAATACAATAAGAGGAATTCATATCCATAATATATCCAACCTATTAGTAACAAAAATAATCCTTACGAGTATTCTCTCCGTCTTATTAAAAAAAAAAAAATCCTCGCAAATATAATATAGCTTATGGTGATAAGGTGATACATCTGCGTTGGATTTGAATTCATAATCTCCCTAGCTAAATATCTTTACCCATACACAAAATCATCCATCCAATTAACTATTTATTTAAGATAAACATATACTATTATTTATTTAATCACTAGAAGCATTACGGTAATATTTTTAAAAACATTTAAATGGTAATAATGAAAAATAAATCAACCCGATCTATGCCGATAGATCATTTTTCATTTATTCATTTTGTTATATATGTAGAAATATTACGGTAAAAGCTGCAAAATATAGATATATATATATATATATATATATATATATATAGAAACTCTAAAAAGATACATGTCTCTATGTCTTGCTTTAGTTGTGGTGTGCTAGGTGCGTCATAAGATGGAGCAAGAATTGTTAGGATATGGATCATAAACGACTCGTTGATAATATGGGGCTGGAGGATAGGGACCACAATATCCATAATATTCAATTGGCTTCAATTCATCATCCTCATTCTTCTTGTCTCCTGGTTTCACATCTTGCACACTCACAATTGTGGCATACCCTAGCTTCTTCCTCAGCAAGTTCACCAACTCGACCGAGTCGACTCCCTCACCTGTCACCACCACTTGGTCTCTTCCTTCGCCCTCCATCGCCACCGAGTTCACTCCTAAAACACACAGGGATTGAATTCGGTTGCAATAGTGAACGCAAAATTAGAATTCTTCATGTAATTAAAATTAAAAGGTCATCTCAAAATGTGCCCCTCGTACACACACACACATATCTAGTTTTAGTTCGTCGAAAGTTGATTTGTTAAACTGAAATTTTGTAAAAGTTAATTATTGTAATAATAGGATTTATGTTTTGATAAATGACAAAAGCAAAATGCGGAAAGAAAGTAAACACATATGACCAAGTCAACCTGAGATTGTTGAGTTATTAAAGCTACCTTGTCTCACTGCTGCTATCTTCATGGCCTTGGTTCTGGTTTTTTCATTGCAGACTTCCAACTTTATAATTATCTTTTTCTGTAACCAATTACAAACACATACTCCGTTACACACAGCACAATTATTAATAGAGAGAGAGAGAGAGAGATCATAAATTGGTTTAGAGTAAGCTCACTGGCATGTTTGACGACGCTGGGAAATACTTGACTTTGTGCAGAGTGAAACTTCAATGATATGTGGGTTTGTGTTGTGATTCTGGGGAACTGATCTGATATGTGTGGTTATATATACACACTCTGTTGGTGAGATTTACTGTATTGTTTATATTGACTTCAAAGTAAACCACAATTTGCTATTCAATTAATGAGATGGTTAGAGTATTATATTGTCTCTTGATTACTTGTAGAATCAGTCTCACTTCTATTATATTCCCCCATCTCGTTTGAATGGTCAAACTGATCACAGCGTCACACGTCAGGGAAAGTTCTTGCTATATATTTTGTTTTTTTTTTCCAGCCAAGGTGGCTGGTTGTTAGTTTTGACTACGTATGTATAAAATTACGTAAAAATCCCAAATAAAAAATTTACTTATAAATAAATCATGTGAATTTGCAAAAATACAACCCTATCTCTTGGGACCATATATAATCACAGTTTATTTTATTTGTAAATTATGAAATTTTAATTGTTAAGTTACGATATTTTAACTGCAAATTCGTGATAAATTGTAACTATAGTCTTCAATGAATTTACAATTGAATTAGTTTGAAGTTTGGGCATTAAATTTTTTTCACATCTATAACAAATTACAGTTAGTTCTCAAGAGACGATTTAGTTGTAATTTTACAAATTCACAATATTTAATTATAAATAAGGTTTTTATTTGAAACTTATATGTAATTTTTTTTTCCAAAATATAATTACGCAGTGTTTTTTTAGTGCTAATTAAACCTCAAAAGGTTTCATTTCAAAAGTTAAGATATAAATTCTTAATCTCGGTCGCTGTTAGTTTCACATGGTTTTCTGTATATATATATATATATATATATGGAGCTTTGAACAGTCAAATATGTTTTGGGGAATTGGTGTATATCGTTAAATTCTAATCGCCGTTGTGTTGGTTGTTGAACTTAACTAAGATTCAATTTAACTAGAAGTGATATTACTATAATGATTATCTAGATGTTGAGATTAGAATGAGTCTATCATTGATTGGGACATTTATAACTTTTTATTCTTTTATCTCTTTAAATTTGTCCTCTGTTTACTTTGGAGAGAAGATTTTAGAAATAAGAATTAGAAACTTGTGGTTCTAGGGTACAGAGCATGAGAGATTTTCATGGGAGAAAATTGTTAGTAAGCTTAAATTGTGCTGGAGAATCAAAAGACCAGAGCGCAAGTAGATAACCGTAAAATCTCGAGCCTATCTACTTGTACTCGAATCCTATCTGCTGATATCCTAGTCCTTTGATCTCTAGCACAATTTAGACCCCGAAGAGGGATTTATTAACAGTTTTCCTTTTCCATGGGAAGTTGTTCTTATAATTAATTAGATTTTCCTTTTCTGCCTCCAGTCCAGACCTAAGCTAATAAATTTGTGCATACACCTTGTAAGTTTGAATCTAGATCCCATGAATGACTCAATTCCTCTCATTAACGACTGTCCACGCCGTAGCCATGGGATTTCATTAACCTTTAAAATTTATGCTTAGCTTGATGATAAAAAAAATAAATGAATCAGTGAGTTAACGGCTGACTTTATGAGAATGTATTTTAACCACTCCCTTTGGTCCTATTCTACAATACACCGAGAGAGAAGATTTTTTGGGTCTTATTTATAAATTACATCAAGAAATTTTTAGGATTAACAAGCATTTTTACTTCTCAACTATTTGCTCAGAAACATTTGAAATTATAAACTTATATGTAGTGTACTTTTTTCCCTCAATATTTAAAAATGATGTATTGGGTACCTGTCATTATAAAAGCTAACATTAATCGTTAATTAACACAAAAAATTATAAAAAAAATAAAAACTTCAAAATGTTAACTTTTCATTAATTTAGGAAAACTTAATTGACGTTAATTTTCATATAGAGTACTCATGTATAATTTTATGGGTCCCTCTATGTAATTTTTAATCTCTTTTTTGTTGTTGCAATTTTTAACTTTTTTCGGACAGAGTGCTCAATGCATCATTTCTCAAATGTTGAAAGTTTAAAATATCATATACTCATGGATGAATAGCTGAGAGCCTCTAGCCAAAAAAAGAATAGTTGAGAGCCAATAAAGCCCTTTAATCCAAATTTTTATAGCAAATTTTCCCTTTTATCCTTAATTAAATTTTGGTTAGAGAAAATAAGTTATTAAAATATATATATATTTAATATGAGCAAATTTAAAAACTTATTAAATTTTTAAATATAGTGAATGAATTTTAAAATTTTTCTTAGTTTCAATGAAACATATTGAAAATGACTTTTATAAATATGATCATGTGAGTTTTTCTTTGCAATTAAGTTATTGAGGATACAAAAAAAATTATAACTATGATTTAATGTTCTCTACTTCTTCCATTAAAAAATGTAAGATATTTTTTATCGAATCTCACCTTCTAATAAAATAGTTACATACTTTCAAACTAAACCTATTTTTTAATATTAACTCCTATTAAACACTCTATAATAAATATAAAGTCATTCATTAATAAGGGCACTCTTAAAAAAAAGGTAATAAGTATACTTCAAAAAACTAAAAATGCTTTACATTTTTGAACATCCAATTTTTTAAAAAATATCTTATATTTTTGAACGAAGGGAATATATTTTATGCCAACATTTCTAGTAACAATTCAATTGAGTTGATGATCTTCATATTACCATGTGGAGTACTTATTGAGTGAGAGGATTGAGATATCCATATAATTCTATATATAAACAATATTATACACTAATTTTTTTAACTTTCTTCCCTAAGAATATTTTATATAGAATAAATAAGCAAATTACTTCCTAAAATTTAAGTCAAGTAATTCTATGGAGTCCAAACTTGTTTATTGTGCAATTTGATCTCTTAGCTTTTTAAAATGGTGTAATCTGGCTTCTATTGCTTATAAAAATTAACTTTGACTATTAATTGACTAAGAAATGATACAAAAATCTAAAAAATTACAATAAAGAGCAAAAAATTACAAACAATATTTATAGAAAAAAATCAAAAAAATTTGTCCTTTTTATGTAATTATTGATATCATTTTTGTTCATTTTCTAATTAATTAAAAGTTAAAGTTAACTTTTGTTAATGACAATATTACATGATTTTCAAAAGTTATGGGGGTAATTTGTATAATAAATAAGTTTATAATTTATGGTGTTATTTGATTTAAGGATCATGAGTTAGCTTATCCATTTATCTTCTTATATATCGTTATCATCTTCTATATAATATTCTCTATTTATATATATATATATATATATATATATATCCCAAATATATCAGTATAACTTCCAAGCTCGTGGGTTGAATGTCAAACTTTTGTGCAGACTTTCTAGACTCAATTGTTTAGTTAGCCATGTTGTTACTAAATTATTAAAAGAATTTCAGTTTAAGATTTGAAGTTAAAAAATATTGATATGCGAGCTCTCAACTTCAGGATTTAATTCCGATAAAATATTTTTTTTTATTTTATATCTAAATCAGTCAGGTCATTATCTCTATAAATTTTCTGTCAATTTTTCTTACAATGACTAAATTAGTCATATACCTATCTGATTGATTTTTTTAAAAAATAATGTACATATACATATGTATACATATACATGCATTATATGATTTTACTATTTTTAATGCCTATAAGTTGTACTATCTAGTACACATGCAGTTCTTATAATTATTATTAATGCACATACTCCTTGATTGTTATAATGCATTTCTAACACATCATCAGAACCAACAAAAATTAGTTAAGTCATTGACTTTATTTAAAAATTGAAAATTTTTTATGTTATCCATATTTTTAAAAAAAATTCAATTTGTATTATATTCTCTCTTATAATAAATAATTTTAAATAAAAATAATACTAAAAAATATTAATTAATACTTATGAAATAACTTATAACAAGGACCATATATATCTCTTTTAGGGTGTCTTATATAATAACGATCAGATGTACCCATGAGGATGAGTTTTGTGATTTTCTTTTTCTTGAAGTTGTTATGCCGTTGATTTATTTCCAATGTGTCGTAATTAATACTCCTTGTAATTTTATATACAAATTATTTTACATATTTTAAAGAGTTTAAAAAAACTCTCAAAACTCATTAGTTTTGTCCAAAATTTTTAGACTATGTCCTCATTAAATATACATATTATTTTAGTTTTGTTTATAAGTTACTTTTAATATATTTTATCAAATTTAAAATCTCAAATCTTATTACTTTGTCTAAAAATTTAATACGTTTTTAATTTTATTTATATTAAATATATATATATTTTAATAAGTAAATGGGCAAAAATGCTCCTAAAATTTTCCTTCATAGGCGCCCCATATTCTATATATTCTTTCGAACAATGACACAAAACTTTTAATCATTGTGCAATTTCACCAAATCGTTAACCTAAACAAACATTTTACTGTTAAATTTGACTTTGACTAAAAATTTTACACGTGTCGTTCTGTCACTCGCTGAACTATTCCCCTTCCTTCTCTCCAGTGCATTCGCATCTCCGACTATCGTTCGTGTACCAGAGAAATCCAAGAAAAGTAATCTCCCGCGCACTTAACCCTGACCCTCTCCCACCATCTTCGTCTAATCCAAATGATTTGCCCGAGAAAAATGCAAGAAAAACTTCTAAAGCAGGCAAGAAAATCTCAGAAGGGAAAAGAAAATCAACGAAACCCTCATATCAAATCAAAATTCAGCCGTTGCCCATGTGCTCCAGATGAAAAGCCAGAGAGATTCAAACTCCAAACACAGCGTCCATGCAAAGAAAACCAGAGTAAGAGAAGAGAAAGTGATGACGTATTATATGGATTGAATTTTCTTGTCTTCTTACAGGAGATCGCACATTCAAGCTTGGATAAGGTTTAATCTTTAAACAATAAAAAAGCCATCACAAGCATATAAGCAAGATAGATTCAAAATGGAAATTGAACCAGCAACTAAGTCAGACTTTTGTCGCCAGAGATGCAGAAGGAGATACCATAAACCTGGAGAACACAAGTCAAATGACTTTAAAAACTAACCTTGAAGGAGAGGTCATACCCTTGACAGCCAAAATGATTAAATAAGGGGCCAAAAGCAAGGTGGAAAATAAAGCCAAAAAAAACGAATCCAACCCCTTCAACAGTCCCCTGCCCAATTTGGGAAAGGGGTACTGAGCCAGGTATCCAAAATTTCAATGGCCGATTCAGGACATACCGGAGATGGCGAGAACATTGGCATTGTTGATGGAGCGAGAATTGCAGGCTTCAGAGGAGTTGAGGCAAGTCACGGCAAAGACACCATCGAGAAATTGTTGGTGAAGATTGAGACGCTGACGCCAGTGCCACAAGCGACAAGACCCCGAGTCTCAGGGGAGGACGACGATGACAAAGACTCAGAAACTCGGCAGCCAACCTCGCCTGCGATAGAGTAATAACAAAGTGCCGAGATCTTCTGTTACTTTGGACAAGGGCTTGGTAGGCCAGGCATCTGTTCCTGATGAAAGTGGCCGGAAAGAAGCTGATGGGAAGAGGGCCTGAGGAAGACAATGGGATTTCTTGAGGGAAGGAAAGAGAAGAGTGAGACGCATGTATATGTTTGTTTAAAAATGACATGTGGTAATTAAAAGCAAATGCACGATTAACTAACGGCCAACACGAGGCGAAATTGCACGTTTTTTAAAGTTTTGGTGCAACGTGGCTCTAAAAATAATAATAATAATAAAATACTAGGAGCCTCTTAAAGAAAAAAAGTGGCAACATATTTTTACCCTTTTATCTTATTTTAATAATACAATTTCTATCATCAATATTTAATAGAGAGTAAAATAAAAAAATTGTAATAAAAATTTAATAATATAATTTATAAATAGAAAAAAATTTCTCTCACAACCTTATAAATAGAACCAAATCAAGTATTTTAATAACATATTTTTTTATTGAATAATTTTTGTCCCAAATTCAATTTTTTAGGCTAAAATCTTATTTTTGGCCCTAGCCCTATAACATCCTCAAATGTTAACCCTTCAATTTAATTAGGTTAGTAATATTTTAAGGAAATTTAAGGGTATTTAAATATATTCAAAAATGACTCATAATGAACGAGGGTTTGGAAGAAGATAAAAAATGAGTTATCTTTGTAACCAAAGATTTTTAAAGAGCAAATAATGATATTTTTGAGTAATTCTTTTTACATTAGAAAGTAAACATCTCAAGCTTTATATAGAGTTCTAATTCATAATTTTTGGAGATGTGTGAAATTAATTATGAATTTTAAAATTGAGTTAGTGAAATGGCACTATTGGCCTGGCCAGTGGCACTTTCAGCCATAGCAAACAGCACGTTTTCATATTTAAACATTCTATCATGCACCTTTGAAAGTATTTAAGCTTGTTAAAGGTTCTCTTAGAATCCAAGTTGTATTCTTGAAGTGATAATCTAAGAGTTGGGATAACTAAAAATTTAATTATTGTGTATCATAGTGTTTGTAACTGTAATTTATGATTGTATTATCAATGGTCTAAAATGAGAAATATGAACTTGTTGGTAAATTTGTTGACATTAAGTTAATGTTAAAAGGCAAGCATGCCTACTGGTGGTAAAATTTTTAATAACTATGTTTATGTGAATACTATGTGATAATGAGAGGTGATTTGTGGACTTAGATTGGCTAAGTGTGATTAATGTTAATATGATGAAATGTGGGCATGGATTGGCGATGTATTATTAATGTTAAGACGATGGGTTGTTATGATTATTGTGCATGAGATGTGATAAACATGCAAGTTTTGATGATTATGATTATATCAAGTTACTATGATATGCATAAGTTAGATTTACATATGTAGAATTAAACTTGTATGATCATGAGGGGTATGAGTTTATCCTAGAGTAATAGAAGGTTAAAATAGTAAAATTACATAGTGAGGCCTTCACTAAATTTGCACACAGTAATTGATATAATTTCATTATTAATATGCTTAGTATTACTAACAACTTACGAGTGTGGTGTGGATCAGGCATGATCCTTAGTGGTGGCAAATCTACATTGATTTTAGGGTGGGCAGATACCCCCTTAAAATTTTTTGAAACCAAAGGTGTAGTATTAATGTTTGTATCATTGCCTCTCCTTATCTCTTAATCTTGCACCTACTGAACAAGCTTAATTGATAGAGTAAAGAAAGAAATAGATGTAACATCTCAATTTTTATTTATTGGATTACATAATATTAGGAAGAAATTATTTCATGGCAAATGAAAATTTTCATATAATTATTTAAGTGAACAGAATTTTCCTAAAATGAGTTTAATTTTAAAGACTTAAATCTAAATTATAATTTTTAGAAAAGGAAGAAAATCAATAAAGTTAGGTATGATTAAATAAAATTATTTGAGAAATTCTTCCAACTTAGAATATTATAAGCATTCAAATATTATGAGAATTTTATTTGAGTAAAATACATAAATTTTGGTTCAACCCTTTAGATTTTTAGGAAATTCTTGAGAATAAAATAATAATAATAATATAAAAAATACAAGAAGAAAGTAAGAAAAGTTCCCATTAACTAAATAGAAATATTTCATGCCCAATTCATTTATATCCTTTCTGGCCCACAAACTTGACACACACAATCACTTATCATATATTAAGCCATCCTCTTTTTTTCAACATATCATTCTCTCTTCCTTCGTCCAGAAGTGAGTCACGTCGTTTTCCTCATGCAAGGTCCGCCATTTCAGGTAAATATCCAAGCTCTTAAGATCACTTAGGTCACTTATCACTTATTAAGCTATCCTCCTTTTTTCAACATATCATTCTCCCTCCCTCCGTCCAGAAGTGAGTCGCGTCATTTTCCTCATGCAAGGTCCGCCATTTCATGTAAATATTCAAGCTGTTAAGATCACTTAGGTACTCAAAACCACTTTTATTCCTAAAACTCCCTTATAAATATTTCCCATCTCATCAAGAACATCAAGAACTTTCTAATGATAGTAATTTTTCTAAAGTATTTTAGGATTAAGGCTTGGAGTAAGTGTGAGTTTTAACAAATAGGACCTATAGGATTGAAGAGCTAAATTTATACTTAAATTTTATTGGTTTAGATTTGCCCTATTGATTGATTTGATTATTTAAAATTAGGGTTTTAATTACAAAGTTTATTATTTGTAATAGATATGATATTTGTATGGATTAAATTCAAGTTTGAATAATTGATTTGGATTTGTTTGAGGTATTGTTGAGATTCTAATTTTTTTTCTTAGTTTTGGGATTTAAGCTTGAAATTAGAAGTGAAGGTTTCTTAGGACTCCAAGTCTTAGAGTGTTTGGAATTTTTATTAAAGAAAATGATTTGACGTTAATTCAGTAATTTGGAGTAAGAAAAACAGAATTGGTGTTGAAATGCTTGATTATGGATTAAGTTGAGAATCGGAGATTTTCTTACCAATTGGATTATGATATTCTTGAGGATTAATCAAAATAACTTTGTTTATAATGATAATTTGGTGGACTTGGGATTCTTAAGGTCGATATTTGTGATGTTTTGGAATATTGGAATGAATGGAGTTTGAATTTATGGCTTAGGATGAGTTATTGGATATTAAATTAATTGTTGAATGTTTACATTGCTGCTGGATATTGAGGAATTAGGATTTGAAATGTTGAAAGAGTTAAATTGAATTTTACAATTCAAGAGGCTAAGACTAAAGTCTTAAAAAAAAAACTTAAATGTTGGAATATAATTGAAAATTCTATTAATGATATTATTGACACATTATGATATGATTAATTGTAAATTAATTATCATTTGGAACCATTTAAATTTTGAAAAGTTTTGAAAGTATTGATTTAAGAGATAACGTTTGACCTCTCAATGGTTAAGGTAACAAGAAGAAATTTATTTGTTTGTGAAACAAATGAATATATATATATATATATATTGTATATGTATATATCATCGAAACTTGGAATTGTTGTTTGGAACGCATATGCGGCATTGTTGAGATCATATGATTTGTAACAAATTTAATGAGTACACATGTAAAGAATTTGAATATGATGGCTATATGTGGAGAAAAAGAAATAAATATGAAAGATTTCTTTGTAATGTGAAATATTAATATTAATTTATGCTTTCATGTGGGAAAATTGTGAATTACACATTTGAGAGTTATTGAAATGCATTTTCTCACAAGTATGATCATATAATAGAAGTTCACCTTAGTAAAGAAGCTGGCGGTTGTGCATAATTCATATGGTACTTAGCTATTAACCGTTGATCCTAAGGGTTATAACCGCTATTTATCTTATAAGGTACTGTAGCATTGTTCATGTTATGGGGCTTAACCCTAATGGCCTACGTGGAGTTTTAGGTAGAGTTAGTATTGGGTATGACACCCTATAATATGTATTTAGGGAAAATTGTGTTCATAAATAAGTAAGATAACCCTAACTTGGTAGTCCCTTATGACATGATTGAGGCCTTGGGTACTCTTAACACATAGACAATCCCTTTCAATTGTTGGCCTATAGATTTCTCAAAGAAAATAAAGGGGATATAAAGAAAATATTGATCATATATTTTATTATTATTATGCCATTTGAGTGATTAATGGCTATGTTTGAGACTATTATTGTAATTGTGAAAATGAAAACATGTGATAAATATGTGAAAAATATACATAATTGCACTTGTGCCAATTTTGTACAAACAATCAGTACTTGTGGGCAATCTGCCAATTTTGTATTTGACTTTATTCTTGAGATTATTCACATGAGTTAAATGTTAATGCAATTAATATAATTTCGATATGACTATTTACATGGTTATCTTGATAAATTTATTAGCGAATTATATTCATGATTAATTATCATACATTTGTATAACTTAGATGTATCTTAATTGTTGAGTGATTGTACTCACTTCTCTCTTTTTACTATATTATAGGAGATAGTTCATCTGAAAAGAATAGAGGAAAGGAACATTAGACCAAGTGATAATAATCACTTTTATAGGCCTTTCTTTTTTATTTTGATAGGCGCATTCATTTTATTATATTGCTAATTAGGATAATATATTCTTTATCCACTTGTATTATGGGTTTTGTATTGGATGAAAGTGTATTGCTAGCCCTTGAAAATGTGGTTTAAATGTTTAATACTTATGTTTATATTAGTGAGCCGAAATACTTTTGCAAATGAAAATAATTATTATTATGTGCATAATTTGAAAACTTAAATATTGTTATGGTTTCCCTTTATGTTTTTGATGTACAAGGGTGAGTGGTATATATTAACTATACATGAATAAAAAGAAAAATTTATGTATGTGATGAGCTATTGATAAATAGATGATAGAGGTGGAGTAAGATGACTAAGTGATAATTATTGTGATAGATGTGATTGAGACTTGACCTTTCGCTGCCAGTTATGGATAGGTTTGAGTAGTGAAGTATTATGTTAGAATATATACACACACACTATATGGAGCAAGGCACAAAGAGAAAATAGGGGGAAAATTTTTCTCCCATCTTCAAATGTGTTTCTTAATGCTTAATCAATCTCATGCTTTCACACAA